CCTGCCCACTTCCTCCCCCAGGAGGAGGAGGAGGAGGCGGCCCAGCGTTAGCACGTTCATGCCGAATATTGCAGCGCGCACATCGCTCTAGGCCGTCATTGCCAAAATAGCTGTGATCCTCACAAACGTGGTTCCCACAATCCGTGCAAAAATACATAGAGACCTCCTGGGCATTCTTGCGACATGCCCAACACTTCATCTTCAAGAACTGACAATTGCAACAGTCCCCGTCGTCACCCCGGCAAAGCCTGCAAAACTCACGATTACTTGTAACACACGAGAATTCGGCGTCCGGGTGCCTACGGTCGTTGGGATTGTCGAGGGCACAAATCTTTGGCGCATCGGGGCCACCGGTGCCGGGAGCTCCTCTTGCGGCCGGCGCCGAGGCCTGTCCACGATCAGACGGAGCTCCAGGAGTCCTTCGCCTATCGCCGGGACTCTGGGTGTCGGCACTAGCTCTACTCCCAGGAGTCCTCCATTCATCACCGGGACTCTGGATGTCGGCATGAGCCCTATTTCCCCCACCAGCTCCTGAACGACGGCCTGGGTTCGGAGAGACGTTCCCGCTATCGCGGCTCCCGCTATCGCGGATCGGCCTCTCCCCCCTCGATTGCCGACTCCGGACCTCAGATCCCCTATCGGGGACGGCAGCAGGCCTTGGGCTTCTGTTCCTACCCACATCCCTATTGGGAGAAATCGAAATGTCCCCCCTTGCGCGCGCGCGGGGGCCATCCCTCGCACGCCCCGGCGGTGAATGCGACCTGTCAGGCAAACCCCGAGCCCTCCTGCTCCTGCTGTCAGCCCTCTCCCTATCGGGATCAATGGGATGCCTATCCGCACGAGAAGGATCGACCCTATCGGGCACATCAGGCAAAGCGTGATCAACCAATCCAACACCTCCGCCTGGTCTCACCGGAAGGCCAGTACCCCGACCATTATCTTCTCCGGGAGTGGGCGTCGGAGACCTGATTCTGTGTCCCTGTCCCGCGAAAGCGTTGTATCCGACGTTTCGTCTCTCTCTAGGCTGTGGGGGGATTCCCCTGGTTGTCCTGAGCACCCTGAATAATGACAGCAGCCTCATCAACCTGACCTTCGATTTCGTAGAGCTGAGCCATGATCCTGTTGTTCATACCATTAAGAGTACGCATGTTACTCTCAACAGTGCTGATCCTCCGCATAGCGCCCTCAAGCGTACTTCGGAATGAGTCAATTTCACGCCTAACGGCAGAACGCGCTTGATCACTATTCGCAGGGAGACTGCGGATTTGTCTTCTGATGTCATCAAGAACTTGATTCAGAACTCTCGAACTCGCTTCGTACTGCTCAACACGGGATTTCAAGATTTCAAACCTCGCAAGGACATCGTCATGGTCCCCATGGTGGCGTTGAACTCCGCGAGATAGATCCTGGACCTTTCGATTGACTTCGTCAATCGCTTCATGCCAGTCCTGCGGGGATACGGGCCCTGATGGTCTATCGATCGCCTGCGACCCCCTCCCACTTTGCAGCCTCGACATCCGATTGGCAAGAAGGGTTTGCTCTTCCTTAATGCCACCAATAGATTCGGATGCCCACGTAGCGAACTTCTCGTGTTCAAGAAGAGCCTTCTCGAGCTTCAGGTTTAACTCCCTGAAATTCGCGTTCACAACGCTGCTGCTGGCCCTATCGGACGATTGCGCGACAGGATCCAAACTCCAATCGCCTGCTGGCGTCCGCATCCCGACGGTTTTCTCTACCGAGAACATCCGTTTCTCGAGCTTTTCCAAGTCCTTGAGGATCTCATCCTCGGAAGCAGCATGGCTCCTGTGAACAGCCTCACGATTCTCCTGAATCATCTGGCGAAGCCGATCAGTCGAGGCCTCATTGTCCTTGACAGATTCGTGAACCTCGTGGGATAGTAGGTTGATCCTCTGCTCCACGACTTCAGCCTGTTCATCGATGGCTTGCCTCACAATGGCTTTGCTGTCGGGAATAACTTCCCTCGCAAACCGTTGAACTATCATACGCATCCTCCCGGCATCAGATTGAGTTGCAACCTCAGCTGCCAGGCGATCGACCTTGTCCTTCGTCTGTCGGCTCTCGTCGCTCCATTCCCTTCGCAAGGAACTCACTTGACCGTTCAGTAACCTGATTTGGTCAGCAAAAATATGGAACGCCTTCGCGACTGAGCCAGAAACCTCACCCCTTTCGAGCATCTCCTGGATGTGCAACTCGAACATCTCCTTTGCCCTGACGTCACCTGATTCGCCGGAAGACTGAGATCTGAGGGCGGGAGGAGTCGATATCTCGATCCTCTCAGGAGCCCCACTAGCCCCGGCATGTCTTCTGGGGTCGCCTACGGGACAATCATCAATCCTGGATGGCCTACTCGGGGTAGATCCCCTTCTCCGGCTATCGCCAGATCGGGGATCAATGTTGGATGCACGTGACTCGGGGGTGGAGTGAATGTGAACATCAGCAGGATCGGGCATCTCCTCATCCTGCAGAGCCAAGCCCATTGGTGAGGGGCTAGCCCTCCTCGCCTTCGACCTATCAGTCTCAATGGCGAGAGGTGACGGCCTCTTCGCAGAAACACTACGTTCCCTGGCGGTCGAGCCCCATTGAGGTGTGAACTCGTTGCTAGACCTCAGCGTTTCAAGGTCACTGGTACCTCGCCCTAACGGGCTAGCGATCGACGGACGATCTTCGATCCCGAGTGCATCGGCAAGCCGACCATCTCTGGCACCTGTCCTAACGACATCGGCAGCCCGCTCAGTGATCCTCGGCGAACCAGTAACCCGGTTCGAGTTCACGTCTCTCTGATTCAACGGACCTCCAAAGGTAATATTGGGAAAAGGGGGAACATTCGGGGTATCACCAATCGCCGGGGGACCTATCGGTCCCTCACGGTCATGGATGGCCTCCAATCCCCGAAGAACTTCCCGACTATCCCTGGCTCTCTCTCTCTCGCTTCGGGCGTCCCTGTCAACACGAAGGTCCCTGGCGGCTCCACGAGAGAGGCTCCTGGGCCTCGCAGCATCACGGATCCTAGCATTTCGGCGTGATCGGTCCTCCTCCTCATCCGCAAAATTGTAATCTTCGCCATCATAAGACTCAGATTTGGCAGTATTAGGGTTGGGCCTACCGGCATCAGACCCCTGCTTTGAGCTACTGCCCCAACCTGCGGTTGATCTCAACAGAGCATCGTATCCGAAGTCTGTGAATTTCCGCTCCTCGTGCTCATCAAACTGACCTGGATTTTGAGAACCAGTGGATCGACCCGAGATACCTCTCGGAGCCAAAACCATAGTTCCTGGTCCTTGCGGCCTATCCTCAAACTCATCCGAGACCTGCGACTCACCTGGAACAAGAGATCTCGGGGTTCGGGTTGGCATGGCCTGCAATGAGGGCGGGCCATGTTCATCGCCATGCTGATGAAGTCGAACTGTCCGCGCCTGTGGCCTGACTCAGAGCCGCTCCTATCGGAGCGAACCCTTCGTGTCTGTTCATCATCGGTGGCCTGACGGAAAATGCGGTCGTCTCCATCATCGGTGTACCTGCCACAGCTCCTGGGTGTGTCCCTACCGGGATCTTCACCCCTGCGATCCTGACCTGCCGAACCTGCTTCGAACTCCTCGTAGTCGTAGTCCGGTAGGTCCTCACCTGATCGGAGGTCACCTAGGATGGCCTCCTCATCCACGACACTCCTTCGAGATCGTGGGGTCGACATAGAGCTTGTAGTTGATGGTCTCAAGCGCGTAGGAAAGTCCTACGGCTGATAACCTGTGATTCGGGCACGAGCCTGTGCCCAGGCAATGGGTTAGTTGGGGTAAACAAGCCACAAAAGAAAGGTTCCCCAAAAACAATCCAATCCCCGGTCCCAAAGATCAGGGTTTCCCACACACCAGAGAACAACAAGGCTTCGCCGCGCGAACCGGCGTTGAGGTTTTTGGCACGTTGAGGTTTTTGGCACGTTCTGAAAGAATGTGTAAGTGCAAAAAACATCAAGGCAGATTCAAGCGGCGGCCTAGAAACAAACCCTCCCCAGCACTGAGGGCGGCGCTTTTGTTCATGCTTTCTAAGGGTTTAAAGATGGCAACGCAGCCCACAGATCCCAGATCCTTGCCTGCGTTCATGCGCCATTGCCATGAAAAAACAGGCTCATGGCATCTGATCGAACGGACAACGGAGACTCGGCCGCAGTTTTGCGGCGCTTCTGCGGCGTGCATGGCACTTCCATGGAAAACCTGGAAAATTCGACAGCCTGCTTAAGACTCTGAGCCCGGATCAAAGCAGTGAACGCTTACCAGACATGGATGCTTACCAGACATGGATGCTTATCAGCCCCCCCCCCCGAACCCCCCCCCCAACCCCCCCCCACGCTGAAATGCAAGGAAAAACCAAGTGATTCATGCAAAAGTGTCAAAAACGGCTCAAAACTCCAGCGCCGGTTCCAACGGCGTACGCAACAACAACCAAAGGAAATCAAACCAAAATAGAAAAAGGATACCCGCAACCTAGATCGACGATGAACCGCACGGGCGATCCCCACCAACCTACCCCGGGCCGAAGTCTCTTTCTCCTCCGACACGAAGGCGGTCGACGTGAGGGCCCGGCGACGCTCATCCGAGGCGCGCCGGATCCAAAACTTGAGCCAAAACACCACAGGTCGGTCACTAACGCGACGTCCCTGATGATGATATGAACCATGGCTAATCACATCTAATTCAACTCAAATGCCAAACAGCAAATGAAAGAAGGATGCTAAGAGAATTGCTCTCTGGCTTCAATGAGCAGCAGCAACTAGCGGCATGTTGCAAGAATCAATAGAGGACCTCGTTGAGTGATTCACAAAAATCGCAACTACCAAAAACACAAAAGGTGCCTTACCACAGTCCCCCAGTATCCTCCCGGGGTGTATACCCCTTATACAGTGGGTTGGTAGAGGAAAGCCAAGGGGTATGAACAAGGGGTGCGCACTTCCCGCTTAGACTGCAAAAGATGTCTTGCATTCAGGCAGCGGAGAAGCGATGAAGTCCAGCCTGGGTCGGGAAGCAGCATGCTTTCGGCCGACACTCTATTCCTTTTGGTCTTGAGCGCACATCAAAGTGAAGCTTACACTGTGGCTACAAACCAAGCGATGGCAAACAGCTCCAGAACGTCCAGGGGTATGTTGCAGGGGGCAATATGGTCTCAAGCCAGCTGGCATCAAATCTGACGATGACAAGACCGACTTTCAGGAAACATCAAGCGAGGAAGTAAATACGACCGATCGACAGTCACGGCTAAGAGGCTCAGGGTAAAATGGAGCAAACTCTTAGATGCCGGCCTCCTAAGCAGGGCAACCAACTATGTGCGGCTAAGCGCGACGCAAGTAGAAATGCATGCCTTGCCGATGAAGCAGGTCTGACCGTACAGAGGCTTGAATTCCATCATAATACACTGCCTCGGCTGGGCAGTTAAGCCACAAGATTGCGAGCCTTGACTTGACTGAGGCGTCTCCCATGCCTTGACTGATCACTGGAATTTGATTTGCATATCTGCCGCATATCTGGGCAAACCTTGTCTGGCAATCCCCAAGTACCCTCGCCGCACGACGAGGCGCAAAGGCCAGCAGAAAGAGCACAGGGGCCACCAAGGACGCCTTAGACATGAGACTTGGAGACAATTCCAAGCGGATTCAGAATCCCAGATAGGTGATACAAGCAATGAGTTGGCAGAGCTGCAAAGCATATGCCCCAAGGATGGTTAGATGCTTGCTGGATCGCTGCCGCTGACAGCATCTGAGACTCGAGCGATTTGTGCCTCAGCCACGGAAAGTTGAGAGGACGAGAAAGGCAACGGACGAATTCAAGTTGCAAGCCCCAACCTCAGTGTTCCCAAGCCGCAGCGCACGTCGATAATCCCATTCCAACCGCAACGCACAAGTTAGAGTCCTCACAGTCGTGGAAGTGAACGCCACTTTGCGGGCAAGTACTTTGCATGGACATGTGTTGTCAAGTAAATTTGCAATCTACAAGCTGGAGGTTCGAGCCCGGTTGGAAGACATGGTGCAATTACATGCTGCGTTCCATGGGGCTTTGCAGTTTTGTATCTGCAGTTTCAGACCTCTTGGAAGCAGTAGCGAGCCTTACGTACACTGTAGTTTCCCACTGCATGTTGGACACTTGTCTGGAAGCGTTTCGTTCGGAGCTGGTGACGCCACGAAAGACAAACCGCATAAAGAACTACATGCCGCGTTCCATGCCTGTGCACCTGGACGCCGCGTCTGCTTTCAGCAGTCTGAAAATGCAGTTGACAACCCTTCTCAAGCTGGAGCAGCAAACCGACAAATCGCACCTTGCACACATTGTTGAGCTGGAGCTGCCAGAACGCACTTCGCGTACTAAGCTTGTACTGGAAAGCCAGGGGTTTTTGAGTAGGAGCAGCAGAAGTGCACTTCACATACTGCTGTGACACGTGCGCGCGCGCCACTGTTGTCTCATCTAGGCGATGCACCTAGGGAATCATCAAGCTGTGTGTGTCATGATCTGCAAACCCCAACCGAACACAGCATCCACACGAAGCTACCCCGCACCTAGCGTCAGCCGTCAAAAACACTCAGCTCGAAATGCCAGAAACGCAAGTGGCAAAGACATCCCCATGTTAGAATCCTGCCGATGGAACACAAAACAAGTCACCGCAAACAGCAGAAGTAGTAGCTTGGCCTTTGCAGCTTCTCGTTTGTCGTCATCGTGTTCTGACAAAGAATATGGGCGACAAACTGCTTTCCCCGAGTCTGCTGACCAGGATGAAGAGACCATGCACATTCGTGTACATCAGGCTCAGCAATTCCAAGTCTTGCTGGTGTGTGGGAGTTTAGTTTGACATGTTGCAGGTGATTCACCCATGGATATGAGGATGAAACCCTCATTGGAAGCTGAAACCAACATGCATTGTTGCGCACTGCATGCCGAGTCACGTAGAACAACAAGGTAGTCAGTACCACGCGAGTACCTGGCAATTCAGCTTCTTCAATTCCAAGCCAGGTGCAGCCTTTGCCCGAAAGAAGTGTTAGCTAACTCTAGCCAGGAGCGCGATGGAGCATAAGGCTTGCATATGAACGAGCAACAGCCACGCCAAAGCGGATGCAATAGCTTTGCGCCTTTGCCAGCAATCCCGTGCAACCGGCCCGCAGCTGCAGGCAAGAATTTGTACCTGGACCGTGATTCAGCCCCATATGGCCATGGGTCAAACCCCGTACCCCAGTGAACATCCCAATCCCCACTAGAATAAACTAATATTATGGGTTTTGCACCTACCCCAAAATGGCACCATTGGTTTTGACCCCCAGCCATATGCGAAAGCAGTCCTGAATCGTGGATCATATCAATTCAAAACGTCTGGCTCCAAATGATCGGCCCGTCTTCGAGTGCCAGGTCAAAAGCTTAAACTTTCTGGGGAAAGTTTGAGGTCAACCTGCCAACCTTTTGGTCTCGACTGGCACCCGAGCAACACATCCTGGGACCAGGTTCCGCCATGCCTGCGCCGCCGGATGTGTCACACCTCTTCCAGCCGCCCTTCAAATACCACCCATTGAGCCTGCACAAACTCCCAAGAGAAGTTGTATTTGGAATGACAAGTAGCCCCAGCTTGATAGGTACTTGAGTATTTGGTTACGTGTCTTGTTGTGACTTCACTCGTAGTGCAGCTGTTAATCACCTGCTCGCCCACGCAATCTTTGACCCCAATTGATGACCGGTTGGACCCCGTTGCAGCAACAACAAAAGCGGATGAACTGGAGCTTCCGCTCTGTGTCAACCTTCGCAGGCGTCAGAATGTTTGCCGACCGCAACTTGAAGAACACTGTAGCTGAAGGAAGGGTCACAATTCTTCTTACACGACGGTGTTGCGCGCGGAGGTGAATATCAAAACAAACAGTGAGTCGTATCAATTGACCTGTCCATCAACTCATTTGCTGATGCTTCCCGGCTGATGTTCGATTTTCGGCGCTGATGCTAAATTAAAATTATGTAGAGGCTACGCAACAGAATGGCTAAGGTTGCAAAAGGAAGTAACGATTGCCCCAGTATTGCACCGAGACAGCACCTTTCCTGTCCACCGATGCGGGCTTTTAGCCACACAGGCCTTTGGGGGGGTCTACAAAAGCTGCTATGCGAGACTGCAACCTCTGTCCGTCAGCCGTAAGCTCCCTTGCGGTTTGAGCACCTCGTCCGGAGTCTTGCCGTTTCAAAATATTTCAGCGAATTAACTGCCTCCCCCTGGCAAAAAGACTGCAACCCACATCGTCAGACAGACTGCAACCCACATCGTCAAGCTGTTGGGAATTAAACAGCCCCCTCCCCCAATGTCGCAACCTTGAGAGCTGACAAGAAACGAATTGCAAAATCATGCGAACATGCTTGCTCCGGCATGCGCAAATTGAGCGTGGGTAACTCGGGCGGCGCTCATCCGCGATGCCGTTTTGAGCTCAGGTCCCTTCCAGCGAAAAGCAAAAGAGGTCGTTGCGATACTTATCTCCTATATGCTTGCATCACGTGCTTCACAGAAACATGAATCTGCAAAGTGGCTCCACGCCCGATTGTAAGGGGCGCACATCCGGTTTAGTTGCGCAATGGTTTAGGGCTGTTTGGGGGATGGTTTGGGGGATGGCTTCGGGGATGGTTTGGGGATCGTTTGGGGATTAGCTTTAGGGTTGGTTTGGGCTGGAATTCAGTGGGTTTAGCTATCTTCAAACCAAGACTCAGACACGCGCAAAACAGACAAGAACAGACCCTTGTATAGAAGAGACAGAGAGGCATGGAGACAAACATACACACAGAGTGCGTGGTCCTAAACCCACCTCAGTCCCACTTTAAATCACCTGTTGATCGCGAAGCAAGCTGTTTGGATTGGTTTGGCGGCAAAAAAGCAACCTTAGTGACTGTGTCAGAAGAAGCTCTGCTCGCGAAGCAACAGCTGAACTCTGCTGCTGTTGCACTTTCAAAAAGCTGTTCGGGCACGTTTGTTCAAGAACTACCATCATCACGAATGCCTTAGGCAGGTTCATCAAGCCTCCGAGGCCTGTGGATATGGCTTGGGGCGGGCATTTGAGAATTCTCCTAGGTATTGCCAACGGGCTCTGCAGGTTACATCTTGGGCCACGGCGCTTGCAAGCGCTTGCTTCAGTCACGCTACACTGGTCTTGGCATCGTCCGGAACACAGTTCGGAAGCCAAGCCTGGAGGCTCGGAGGGACTCCTTTCCTGGTTGAACTGATCGTAAGCGAGAAATGCGACTTGCGACAGGCAAGGGATCAACCGTAAGTCTTGTTGCTTTGCCCTTGCCTTCTCTGGCCACGTGCTACGCGGGCTGAGCCGGAGGCGATAAGGTTTGACAACTGGACAAGTCATCAATCCGAAACAGTGTAGTCAAATGCGACATTCCAAGTCGGCCTCCAGAAAACATTGCTCGGGAGCTGAATGCACATCTGCTGCGGCACCTGCCACGCGCATGCTCCCAGGAACTACAGCGGACCGCAACTGCACGCTGTCAGCAACGCGCATTCTCTGAGTCTGAGAATCTGTCTGAAAGCAAACTTCTGGGATGCTCGAACTTGTCTGATCTGCAAAGAGCACAATGTATCTGAAATTTGACTCTTGGGTGGGCACCCGGTTGATCCACAAGTGACTGTGCAATAATCTGGTGGACTCGAGTCGCGTCCAAGAGTTCTCTTAGATCTCAGGGTTCTGGCCAGTATTCCCCAAATCCCAGCGCATGTTTCGTTTTGACGGATTGTGCGCAGTGCATGTGTCCGCTTCGAGCAATATGTTGATTGGGATGGAAACCGAACTCCAGGAGCTTTTTGCAGGCCAAGGCTGAAGCGAGGGCGCGGAGTTGCTCGTCATCAGCACCTGGCACATGAAGGCCCAAGCGATCCAACGCCATGCAGAATACTCCCCACAATTGGATCAAGTAGTGCTGGATTGAAGCAAGGCAAACAGGTCGGCACGCGTCGTGAGACCCATTCATACTACAGGAAAACCACTCACCGCAAAGATTTCTTGCACACAATCTGTCCCTCACCGCCACCGGGATGCGTACCAGTCAAGCAATATTGTCGTTCGCGCGCACACAAACACACAGAAACAAACAAACAAACTCAGAGAGCTGCTCCAAATGCTACGCCACTCTAAGCTACCCAGAAGCCTGCCGGAAGCTTTGTTTCAATTGATGTGCAACGGATTTTTGGGGAAGTCCTGCCAGCCAAACCAAAAATCAAAGCCGTCTTTTCGGCCAGTGCTCGCTGGAGACTTGCGTGCTACCAGCATGCCTCCTTCCAGCAGCGGCACTGACGCGTCCCCCTCGGTGTCTGCCTCTCAGGGCTTGCTCTCAGGGCTTTCTGAAATTGAACAGGTTGAGCGCAAAAACCGGTGTAAGTGAGAAACCGAGGGGTATATTTGTCTTCCCGACAATACTGGTTGTAATGCCCTTCGGGGTGGGTACGAAGGCTTGAATATCCTCAGCCCGGTGCCCAGCCCGTAAGCACGATATTTTGTTCCTGATGCAACTGTGCACGCTTGTCGTTGTGACCAATCGCATGTTACTTGAGCCAAATGGCCATGGTGGATGCAAACAGTTCATATCATGATGATTATCCCTGTTCTACTTCACGCAGTATGCCTCATTTTGAGGCATCTGCGCAGAGGCATTGAAAGTGTGGAAACCTCACCTCGCTGCCTGAGTGGATGGCCCAAAAAAAGTCTAAACTTTAAATTTACCACCCAAAAAGTTTAAAGTTCATGAACTCAGGAAGTGAGACACAATCCACCGGCTGGCCGGCTCAACCTCATTTTGGCTCGCGAGTTCTGGCGGTCTATGAACATGACCTAACTAGAAAAGCAGCACTGAGTACTCACGCTCCGTTAAACGGTAGCGCTTTCCCCGTAAACGTGCCCAATTCTCGGCAAGGGTATTTGTAATGGGAATGCCCGAAAAGTTGGGCGATATCGCATCATAATCTTCACATGAAGACATAAAACCATTGGCTGCCCTCGTGTCCCAGAGCAAACACATCGGCGCTGCCTAACCTGGTCATCGTTGTGGAAGAGTGGCGCATCAGCTCTTTGCCCAGGACATTTTGCCGCCTGTCCAAATACCTGTTTTGTTGGTGGAATATTGCTTTGCAAATAGGGAACTGGCAAATGCATGATATATTGCGCGCATCGGTACTCTCGGCCCGTCAAGCGGTTCCGATTTCCCTGCGCTTTTGCACTCAATGAGGTAGGCTGATAAATCATTCACAGGCGCTCGTCCCATCCTCCGTAGTAACCCGACCAACGCGTGTCACGTACATCGGTGCGGGCACGCACGTCCCGTCGCCATGGGTACGGTTCTCCCTTCCCCTTGGCTTCCTTGCTTTTCCCTTTCCCATTTTGCTTGCCCTTGTCGTCCTTCCCCTTCCCTTTGCTGGAGGATCCGGACGACGGCTTACCCTCGGGGATTGGGAACCATCCCCGCTCTGGGGGTTCGGGGTTTCGGCCGCCGCGAATTTGTTCTTCTTTTGTTTCTCGCCAAAATTCGGCGCAATTGTGGCCTCCGCATCTGCCAACGGAATTCGGGTGTGAATGGTCAGCCCCTGACGTTTTATCCTGTAATTCTCCCATTGCGCACGAAGCATAGGACTGAAACTCATCCCGTGGTAGTTCATCAATTATAGATCTTGCGCATCCAGTCGAATGGGATAAACCTTAATTCCTTCAATGTTGGGTTGGAAGAAGGAGTACCGGGGCAGCGCCTGTTTTGGCGGGCATTGGCACGCGCTTTTGCGCCCGCTTTGGGCAGCTTCTCTCCCCAAGTGCTGCACCTGCCACGCAATCTGAACACTTGTCACCCCTGCTCCTTGCCTCTCTCTTGTCTTCTTGTCTCCTCTCATCTCCTTCCGCTCTTCCACTTTGTCACGACAGCCTTTTCTTGTCTTCTTTTTCTTATCTTCTCCTTAAGCCTTAGCCTTCACTTAGCGCCAGTGCTACGGAAGTTTCTTCTCAACTTCCTTAGATGAAGGGACTTCGTGACAAGCAAAGACAAAACAAGCAATACCCCCCCGTCCACCATTGCGAGGTCCATTCCGAGGGTCTGACGCCACGCCAACGCCGCGTCAGGCCCCCAGTGGAAAAACATGTTGGAGAGAAAGTTTGAATATTTGGGCTCCTTGGTTTGGGGCAGTCGGGCAGGGCCTCACCTTGCAAGTTTCTTCTCAAACAACCTCTTCGCTTCGGGGTTCATCGCAAGCGACGCTTGCGATCCGAAGCTCACTTTTTAATCCAGTACATGGGCCGTCCAAAGCGAAGCGCCTGTGGCGCACGGTCTGCGCTCTGTGCGAAGCTGGTGACGCACGTGTGTTGACTCTCACTCTCAACATACGCAGGACCTCAAGCTGCGTAGCAGCATATGCAATAATTTGTCGAATGCACCCAAGTAACGCGGACTTCCTCACATTCCGCTGTTGCAGTCTCAACATGCTGGGCCGGCCTTGGGATCGAGCTTGTCGTCCTGCCGGCCAAGCAGGCAACACTCTCGGTCACGCCTGTCATCGTCACACGCACGCTTGGAGAACAAGATGTTGGGCGCGACCCCAGCAAAAGCCCGTGGATGCTTCAGAGTCACTGAGTGGCTCTCTTCTCAAAACTAAGAGAAACTGAAACAGCGTGGCAATACAACCCTTGCTGATCACAACCTTGCTTCGTTTGCTGCGGCGCACACGTTTGCATACCACTGAGTCGCGGCATCGCATCCACTTCCCAAAAATCAAGCCCCGCCACATAGAGTGCGTGAGACTTAGGAAACGCGCTGACTTCCACATGCAGGAGTAGCCCGACTCTCGGACAGCAGTTCTCCTTGCAAGTCACAATGACAACAGGCAACAATAATTCAGAAATACTGCGCTAGCGACGACTCCTGAAAAGCTCTGCCGCGCAAGCGTCAGTCCTTCGAGTTTGTCGGGTTCAAGATCTGGACTGGCACCTTGCCGAGATAAGAAATTGCCTAGCCACTGCTTACTTACGCAGACTCAGACAGCGCCACGACATACCCTAGGTGCTTCGTGATGCCTCCGAAGTGACTGTGCCGGATGGAGCGTTCTGGATAAGCACCTCAGTCACAATGGCAGTAGGCAAACGCACTGCAATTTAGGACGTCTCTGAAACACGATCATACTATTCGCCGCCCGTGGCTAAAGACGTGGACATACAAATCCCAATCACACTTTGTCGCTACTGTAACACAATCCAAAGACAAAATAATCTCATACCAGCTAAGCCTGCCGCGATGCTGGAAGGATACTTCTTCTTTGCTTCAGACACTACCTGGTGATTGCTTGCGTGAGCATGCAAAATCTTACTGAGCGGAGATCTGGCTGATGCAGCTTGCATCTTGGACCTGACTCTTTTGTGGGGCACCTAGATCAAACGTGGAAGAACAAAGAGATATTACGGCTCCAGTCAAACTTTCTGCCTCTTGCTCCTCTGCCACCGGCAACGCCGCGCGGAAGCCCTGTAGCATGTGAAAGACCCTCTCCGCGGAATGCACCTCAGTGAAGCGGTCTTGAGGCCCTTGCTTCCACTTGAACGTGGAGATGATCCATTCGGATGAATCTTCATGTGTGTGAGGATCCTTTTACTGTTTTGGTGTCTGCAAATCTCCACCTCACCTGGAACGGAATGATGCCATCACAACGATGCCATCACAGTGTGGGCAGGGTCATCCTTGCTGTCTGTGCAAGGAGGCAGCACTTCTTGAGCATGAGCCATGCTGGGAGAGAGTTGGAATGGTTCATGCCTTGCTGCCAACAGTTGCACAAGTCGTGCTTTAGCTGGGTGGACCATGAACATCTGCGTCTACTGCACACAGCTGCTGAACACCTAACGCAAGAGAGCAAGTCAATCGGTAGAAGGAAAATCCAACAGTCTGAAGGATTGTTTGAAGCTGAAAACAGGAGATCAGGAGGACAAACTGCAACTTCATGGCGCCAATGCCACATCGAGAGTGCCAAATGATGTCTTCAGGAACGCTCAGCATCGTTTGCTGCGTATGTCCCACAAATATCCAGGTGCTATGAGCAAGCTGCACAAGCATCACCAGCAGGTTTTGCGTTACCAGGCTGGTGGGTTTGGACTGGCTTTGGGGGTTTGGCCGCGCGGGGGTGGGGAGTTTGGGTGAGGTGTAGGGTCAAAGCATTTTTAGGTAGTCGTCCCAGTATTCTCTAAACAAACAGCATCGCATGAGTGGAATTGGATTGGTATTGGTTTGGCTGCCCTTGGTGTGGCTGTGCGCTTGGTCTGGGGAAGGTCCAGGCTCAGGGTGATAGGTTGGGTTCTTGGCCGATGAGGCCACGGAAGCCCAAAAAGCCAAAAGCCTGCAAAGGATCAAACAAAACAACAAAAAAGACAGCGAGGAACGAAACTGCCTTGCGTTGTGCGTTCAGCAACAAGTGCAACAGAACGCTGCAGCGCATCTATGGTACTTTAGGCCCATGTGGACAACACAGTCGAGAGTCAGCAAAGGCATCTGTTGAGCAAAATGTGTCGGTTCTTGTTTCTTATTTATTATCATTGCTATTTGTTTTACTACTTTGATTACTGGTATCATTGTTGTTATTATTTATGAGAAACCGAGGGGTCTCTTTGGTGTCCCCGATAACAGTGGATGTGTTGTGCTCCGAAAAACCTGCACTGCCCCGAATATCCTCGAAGCCACAAACCCTCCGCGAGCTCGATTTTTGCTTTGCTAGTATGATTCACAATAACGATTGTGAAACCAACCATGATCTTGAGCCAAATGGCAACGTGTGTGTGTTAGTTGCAAAACTGCACAAGTGGTCCACATATTATTCACACCCCCCACACTGTATGCTTCATTCATCAGCGCAGAGACATTGAAATTGTGGAAGGAAGCTTCATCCCAAACCCACTCAAGTGCAGCCACACAACATGCCGGCTCATTCACGTGTTGTATTCAATTTATTTTCTGACTTGCAAATCTCGAGTCGTGAGACGCTCAAATACTGCAGATACAGCAGTGCACGAATGGCGAAAACTGGACATGACCAAATGAGAAAAGTAGCACTGGGACCAACGTTCCAAGTAACGTTTTCCCCGTAAACGTGCCCAAATCTTGGCAAGGGTATCAATAATTGGAAAAGCCCGAATGGCGGGGCATGACCATGCGATCATCCATATAGAATGATGTAATACCGTTGGCGGCCCCTGTGCCACATCGGTACTGCCTAGCCCGGCTGTCAATGTGGAAGAGGCGCATCAGCTCCTCCCACTCAGCCCCGAAGGGCCCGGCCGGTCCACACCTTAACCTTGCGCTTTCAAGGAGAACAACTCCTCAGCAGCGTGCCCTATGTGAAAGTTGCGTAAATGAAGGGTCCCCCATGCCTTGTCAAAAGGAAAGCATCTGCTCAAAAGAGTCCATTTTGCCGCCTGTCCAAATAGCTGTCTCGAAGTTGGAGTATATGTGAACAAGGAGTAGGATATGGAAAGCAATTTTGTGCGCCGTGGTACTCTCGGGCCGGGAAACGGTCCCGATCGCAGCATTTAAAATTAGGCTGACAAACCGGTCGCCAGTTCTCGTCGAATACGCGTCACGAACGTCGGCGCGATCCCTCACATCCCATCGCCAAGGAAAAGCGTAACTCTGCTGTCCTTGCTTGTGCCTTTCCCCTTCTGTTTGCCCTTATTGCTCTTGCCTTTGCTGTTGCCCGATGATCCGGAAGAGGGCTCAGCGCTCCGGTCAGCGTGACTAACGAACCTGGGATTCCCAGGTCGTTCACCCGTCTTTTTCCCTTCTGCCGAAGAGGGTCTAAGAGTCCTGGAGGATTGGCTTCCATCTTTCCGTTGATCCGATTGAGGTTTCGGTTTCACCAACCCATCATTGCGGCGCACAACCAGTCGAAAGGGATGTGTTTACCGCCCTTGGCTCCACCCATGCTTGATTGCAAGAACGAGTACTTCTCAACACCAAAGCAGGCGCCGATCACAATCCTTCCCGAACATTTCCAGGATAATCGGATATAGCTGCAAGTAGAACAACCCCATGAGGTGGGTGATGCCCTTCATCTCAACGTACTCCTCAATCGTCGCGTCGTACGACCGTGGCAAATCGTTCGGGTTATACCCATCGCGTGTCTCCTTCCAAGGGGTCTTCCATGCAGAACGCGCTGCGCTTACCCTCAAGCCAGTCCTCCTTCCACTGATCGACCACCTCCTTATTGCCCGTCTCGTTGTCGGGCCCCCACTAGTGGTGTATGTTGGAAATATTCTTTCCGTACAGCCCGATATGGCCTCAACGGTCTCTCGGACACTGCTTCCGAACGGTCCGACTTCTGGTTCGTGTTCACCTCTTTTCGTCGTCGTCGTCCTGGAAGGCTCTGCTGGATTTTGTGTGGTTTGAGCTGATTGCGTAGTTCTTCGCCATCCTTTTCATTCTTGGCCTTCTCTGGCGGCTTCTTTCGCGCTCTTCCGCAGTTCGTCAACACCCACTTCTTCAGCTGCCTCCTCAGCGAACACGTTCTGGCGCGCGCTCTCTGGAACAGGGACGTGACTAACCCATGAGAAATAAAGTAGCTGTTGCACATCAATGTAAAAATGGTTTGGGTAGCGGGATTTATGTACCCTAGGTGCTGGAGTGAAATTCCTAACACCCCGCCTTGGAGTCACTTGAACTGGTGAAAGTGTCTCCGCCACAAAAAGGGTTGGATTCTATACAACTTCAACCACTTGCATAGGTTTTGGAAAATGCATCGTGCCATGAACTCCCTCCAAGGAAGATCAATGCAAACTGAATCACTTTCTGACATGCCCGTGATAAGCGTCAGGTTCTGCTCACCGTAAACCGGATCTCGTTGATTTCACGCATCCATGCTGAAACTAGCACCATGACATGCATTACTTGAAGCATAGCCTACCAGCGCAATCTGCACAGATTGCTCATCTACGATACGTCTGATTTCCCTCTGCGCTTCTCGTAACGGTCATCTGCTAGTTGCGCACACTGCGCCTGCATCTGATTCACAACAATATCTAAACGCCTGCGCCTCGATCTAGGCTCCACCGAACCCATGACAACTTGCGCACGCCTGGCAAGCCCACCTTCAACTGCACCTGCTCAACTGCTTGTTCAAACACAAGAGCTGCTTCAGAAACCTTCCATCTCAGATGCAACGAAGCTGAAAGCAATTATGCAAATGAAGCACATCATGAACATGTTGGTGTGCCAAAATGGCACACTAGGCTCTGGTCAACCACACACTGCTGCAATTGAGGCAAACTCACAACAGATGAATCGGCACATGTAAACTTCTGCGAAATGAGCAAAACTGCCTGCAACACTGCTTGCGTCTGCTTGTCCTGCATTTGCTTGGAGATTTTCTGGATCTTCTTCACCTGCTTGCTGCTATCCACCTTCGTCAGGATTTCCTCGTAGGCTTCAAGGCTTCATGTCCTCTGTGCTGGTCTTTCTCATCAACCATTCCAGTCAAGAACATGAGGCCCTCCATTCTCTGCCTACCGAGCATTTTCGTCGCCAAATCTGAAGGATTGAGCAAACCAGCAATGGGCGCAACTTGCACCTTACCCTCTGCAACAAGGCTTTGAATCTATAGCGATCCACAGTCCAAGTGGCGGACTCTCGAACAGCCTCTTCTCTGGGTGTCTGCGCGTGTCAGCTCGACTCAAGTTCTGCAAAAGAAACTCCACCACTTCTTGCATTAGCACACTCTCGCATAAACCTGCTACCACCGAACAGAGAGAGGTCGTGCTTTTCCTATCATTCTGCCGCGCCGGCATGAATCACTCTGCTGGCTTGCTGCCGCAGTCCCAGAACTTATCCCTTGACATAAATTCCGGCAGCAGGCGCCGCGAATGTCGGACATTCATGCTTGATTCAATATGAAGACGGGTGCAAGACCTCTTGCTTCGAATCAATCTTTTGTCTCACAGCACGTGGCCCCCCTCCAGAAACCCTGCAATGCCCCGAATATCCTCGAAGCCGCAAACCCTCCGCCAGCTCGATTTGTTCTGCTAGTATGATTCACAATAACCATTGTGAAACAAACCGTGATCTTGAGCCAAATGGCAATGTGTGTGTGTGTTAGTTGCAAAACTGCACAAGCGGTCCACATATTATTCACAATTTAAGAAAAACAATAACAATACAAAAAAAGTAGTAGTAATCAAAAAGTAGTAGTAATCATAAAAAATAATAATAATGATAATAATTAAGAAACCGTGCCATACTGTACCACAGGTACAACAGCACATCCGCATTCGCAACCTAAGTTGCTAAAGCGTAACGTGGCACGAACCAAACGGACTTGGCCAATCGCCGCGCATGCGCCATGCTCTGGCTTCGAGACAAACAACATACCCTATGAACTGTGTGTCTGACGCTATCCTGTTTTCGTTGTGAAGAAACAGTAGAACCCGTAGCCGTAGAACCCTCTTCGCTTCACAGCAAAACACCGCAGCCGGTCATTCATGCACCGCTGGCAAGGGCCCCAGCGCCGAGTTCCTTCAAGCGTGTGAAGTCCATCTGCTCCTGGGCGTTCAACGTTGAGATACTGCGTCCAAGTCAATCGGCAACATCGGAATGGAGAATGAATTTTGGAGCATCGCAATCTTGATCCCAACTTGGGCCCTGGCCATGATCAAGCAGTTCCGAGCACAAAAGCCCGCATAGCAAAGCTCCAAATCCTGGTCGGCAGAGACTTAGAAATGGGCACACTGGCCCATCGCATTGATCCACAGGTTCGGAAGGAACACAATCAGTGCCCTTGATCCACGACCCTCAGTCATGTCTCATCCGCTTGGCAAACATGCACCAAAATACACGTGCTGTTCCACATCAAAGCATGCGACAAAGAACTAAGAAGTGTGTGGCAGCTTTATCCAGTCATCTCCAATCAGGAAAGGGCCTGCATCAGCACCGGGCGTGAGACCAAGAAGCGCGGACTGCAGCACACTGGGTGCTTGCTTCCGCGCGGCACCACCTGGATGCAGAGAGGTTGCGGCTGAAGCAATCTTGCTCGCAAAGAAACGCTCATCAAACCATGACTATAACAAGAAACACTGCTATGCATGCATGAAACCTTCACCTATGTTCTAGTCTTTCCCTGAGTTTGCATAAGTGACAGGAATGCTTTGTCCAAGTTGAGGGCTGACATCAACAAATCAACCACAGCGCAAACACACACGCGCACACACACACCCGCACAGAGCCACCTATTGGTGTCGGCCTCATCGGCCATGCAAACGTAGAGGCAAACGTTACAAGCGAGTATCACAAACGCTAGTCCCAGCCCTGTTGGCCAACCTGCAGGTAGCACTGCGCGAGGGCGTCGCACTTGAAGCCTAGGCTTGGTGCGTCTCAAACACTGCCCTTACACAATATCCTCAGTCTCACCAGTGTCAATTCAGAAGACTGCCTTGACTCACTCTGCCGTAAGCGGCAAAATACAAGTAAACAATCATCCCCGCGCCCCCGCCTGCAAATTGCAAACCCTCATTGTTGCAATTCTCGCCAAGTGAATGAAAATAGCAACGCCAAAACATCGCCTTTGACTCCGCACCGGTGCACGTGGCATAAAATCACCAAAATCCGACAAAGGCTCCCTGCACAAGGTCAGACGCCTGTGACCTGTCGTCAACTTCACCATTCCCAGGTCGTGCGGCTCGTCCTCAAGTAGTTGCTCAGGGTTGGCAAAGCAAAGCCTTCATACACTCGGGTTTGTGCTTGCAAGGCCCACTGCCCAAAGGCTACTGGTTTGGGCATCCTGTGAACTGAACTGTTGACCGCAGTCTCTGTAGGGGCTCATACACCAAAGCAGTCGCGGAAAGCCTGAACTAGACACCATTCTCGACGGGAAACAAAAAAGGTTCAGTGAGCCACAAGTGGGCAGCCTTTTGCTGGCATCATTCAGGTTACGTCCACTGTGTGGCCCAAGAGTAGCATTTGCTTTGGTCTACAAAGCACGTCTGATCATATTGCCGCTGCAAGAAGGCCACACTGGAACGCCGCAGACTTTGCAGCGGGGGAAAGACTCAGATTCCGGGGCAATAAGTGGTATGAGTACAGGCGCATACGCACGCGAAAAGCCAGGCAATGTCTGGTTATTTGGCTCATATCACACTTTGGCCCTATTCACCATGCCTGCAGTCCCGGGCTGTGGCCCTGGCATTGAGTTGTACGCCCTCCAGATTTCTCCAGCTGTCGCTTTGGGTCCTGTCAGTCTTGGCACAATCCCATCTCAAGCAGCAGTATAGCTGACGCTGCACTCTACTTGTCTTGCTCAAAGCGGCCAAGCGCGGCTTGCACATCGGCGTGATTTCAAGGCGCAGTTCAGCAAGATTACGGAATTGGACGCTGTCCAAAAAAACTCGCATGGACTTGCATATTTCAGTACCATCTCGAACGCGCTCTGACATCAGCAGCAGCACGCTCAGCCGTCGTCACTCTTGAAACTGCTCTGCCAAGCCTTCGCTGAACAAATTGCCGCTGAGAGCCCCGCTGGGCAGGGTCTATGTTTGCAGAGACGATCTGGATGTTCAGCTCGGCCTACTTTGGAACGGTGGGGCGCTCAAAGGAGAGAATGTAAGCATTGGGCTCGGAAAAGTGTCTCAACTGAAGCTGCTCGTGCACCTGCATGGAAGTTTGCACACTGCGGTCCTGAACGAAGACATGTCGTTGAGTGCACTTCAAGACATCAAGATTTGCGCGCCCTGTCACAAGCAGAAACGCAACGGACGTTGCCCAACCGTTTCACCCCATGCTTCGCGCCTCCTTTTCAACGTGTTGTGGGACCTGTGGCACAGGCATTGGGCCGTTACGACGCCTGGCTCCTTGCCTCACAGTTTACAACCGCGCTAAACATGAATGTCAGGTCACATCTCATCAAAGCAAGTTCTCTGTCTCTCTCTCTCTCTCTACCCTACGTTTTGCAGCGGAAGGTCGCAAGGTACATAATGCAAAAGGAGCATGACTGGATTTCCATGGTACTGCCTCAATGCGTCAACAGTACTGCCGCAATCCTTGGATCGTTGTGGGAGAAGATGCCTGCGAGCTGTAAATCATATGATAAATGTGTTTTTGCCGAAGCGGCACGCTTCCACGATAAGATTCCATCACGGGTTTCCGGCAGTGTGACCGGCTCATGACATGGGAGCCCGTTAGAAGGCAGGCCGTGAGAACAGTGTCCCAGCAACAGCCATGCGTCTTCCACAACCACAAGCTCCTGCTTGTGTTGGTACAATCTCGCAGTTGAATGGTTGCCTCATGTCATGAGCAAGTTCCATGAGTCAACCAAGTACCAATTCAGAAAGGAGGTGCGGGGAGCAGATTGCGCTGCGTCCCTTTCATTTTTCTCACTTGGGGCGGGCGTTTATTGTTCCCCCTCTGGCCTTCAAAACCACAAGTGATCTGTTGCGTAAACGCATGCAAGATATTGGCCGTGAGCAGGTCTGCTTCTGTAAACTGAATGAGGCCTTTGCTACATTGTGCCGGCTTCCGGCTTTCTCCCCCTTTCAACCAAAAGCTCTCACAGCTGAAGCCACTCTGCACCTTCCACTTCAGCTCCACGGACTCGCCCCAGAAGATGGTGGAGCCAGGGCCTGTGAATGAAAACCTACCTGTCAGTCGTTTTGTCGGCCTGTTCATGCTGAGAAGCGTCAATAACGGCAAAACTAACTAGTACGTGTTAAGTGTTTCTGTATGTGTTAATTGTTCTTCTTAACTAGGAATATAACCTTAGTGAAGGCATGTCGTTTTGCCATTTCCGTCCGTGATGTGTAAATATACAGTACTTTGTTTGCGTGGCGTTGCGTTGCGTTGTGTTGCGTTCTGTTCTGTTCAGTTGTGTCGCGTTGCGTTGCGTTGCGTTGCGTGGCGTTGCGTTGTTGCGTTGTGTTGCGTTGCCTGCGTGGTCCTACAATACTATACTATTCTGCTTTGGACCATTTAAGCTTTGCCTCCAGTTTAAATTTATAAATAAGAGCCAAATTTGCTTCGAATTTTCTAAGTATGGATCAATGCAACTAAATATACTATCCCTCCTATTCAAAGCGTTGCAATCTTCATCTGACTGTCCCATTGCTGCTCCACGCAACTCGTTCCAAAGGAATGAGAAGTGCACGTGAAGGAGCAAGAGCTGCACAAGCGTCATATGGTTTGGGATTCTCGTGCAGCAGAACTTCCACACACACACATACAACACACATCATACCACGCATATAGACATGAATTTGTGCATACACCTAGGGTGGGAAGTTTCAACATAAAAGAACCTTAGTTATCCTTCACAGACACACAGACACACAGACACACAGACACACAGACACACAGACATACAGACACACAGACACACAGACACACAGACACACAGACACACAGACACACAGACACACAGACACACAGACACACAGACACACAGACACACAGACACACAGGCTCGCGTTCTCTCTCTCTCTCTCTTCCCATTTCTCTTTGTTGTTCATTCTCTCTCGCTCTCTGTCTCTGACTGTTTGCTGTTCGTTTTCTTTTTCCTTTCTTATTTTGCTCTAGTTTTTCGCTCCTGTATTTTTTAGTCTTTGTCTTTCTCCTTTTCATTATCTTCTCTGTCCTGTTCTCTTGCTCTGTCTCTCTTGCTCTGTCTCTCTCTCTCTGTCTCTCTCTCTCTCCCTCTCTTTCTCCTCTTGTTCGTCCATGCCTGTGCGTCGAGAAACTTCTTTGCATAGATCACATACTTCTCTTTCTCTTGCTGTCTGTCTATCTGGCTAGATATCTACTCATCTAATCTCTGTACAAACCTGTCCAATCTGTGTATCCATCTTCCTATCCATCTGTCTCTCTTTCGTGACCGATAGACCGATCATCTGTCTCTCCATCTATGTGTCCTATCTATCTGTCTCATCTTGTCAGTCAGTCTTTCTACCTAGCAAGAACCTGTCCTCACCCCCACCTTCTAGCACCTTTCCTGCCTCTGAAAGAATGAAAGACAATTTCAGTTCTGTTGGTTTACAATTTCAAAACTGCAAAGTTTTTCGCTTGAGTAGGACTTTTTCATGAAAATTCCTCTGGCAGCTCCAGCTCGAAAGTCGCAACTTTTTGGCACACATGTAGCACCTGAAACTGATTGACATTTGAATAGCTTGGGTTAAAACCAATTGAAGATTCAACCGTGCCTGAAGCGTCCAGAATGTCTGTCGAAATAGGCTGTTTTCCCAGAAGAACACGCAAATACCGGGTACCATTTTGTGGTCAACCCCAAAAACAACAATCTACTCATTGTGTCTTGAAGTTGCTTAACTGCTTCGGTTTGTCAATAAGGGCAGCGTTCAAATAGCTTTTCGAATTCAGAGCAGAATTTTAGCTGGCGTTAAATTCTTGGCTCAAGCCTCCAAAGGTTCTAGAAGATTCTCCTTCCAGGGCTCCGCATAAAGCTCCTTACAAGTCTATTTGGGAACCTCCTTGCAGCTTCTAATGTGGGACAAGCAAAAGAGATCCTTGTAAAGCTCCTGAAGCTCCTTGTCCTTGTGCATTTTTCAAAGCTGCTTGCGAAGATCCTTACAAGGCCGCCTTGGCTCCTTATACCATAAAGGATGTTGATTTCAAAAGCAGGTTGAACAGGAGATGAAACAAACAGTTCAGAATACGAATTCAATGAAGAACTTTCCAAAATGAATTCCATGCGCATACTTTGTGTTAATATGTTGAATAGGGACATAATTTGATTAGAATCCTTTTCCAAAAGGAATTTGATTGAGGTCAACTTGAATTTGAGTAGAACTTAATAACAATCAACTTCTATAAGTTCTAGCTTTAAATAGGAGGAATTGATTTAAGTTTCAGCTGCAACAAAACCCAGACGGTTATACGTAATGACCTGCAAGTGAAGACAGCTCCTCTCAAGGCCCCTTATGCCAACCAGGACTTTTGCAGAATAGAGGAAACTTGTCTGATAGAATGAGGGGCCAAGCAGGCTGAGAATATCAATATATATTTGTATCTATGATATGTGTGTGTAAGATGTGTTGTACCAACGTGTGAAAAAAGCAGGGTCTCACAGCTGTGCAACGCTCAACTCGCAACTCCTGAGCCACTTCCCAAGTTCGAATCCTCGCTTGGTTGGCGACTCTCATTCCATTGGTTTGATCTGAGCATCCGGCGGACGCTGGCAAACAAATCTGGGTACTGCTCAGAGATCCCCGGCTCTGGGCCTCCGTCATTTGCAAAAAAGCAGGGCGAGCGCTGCGGCTGTGCGCGGAACCTATGAGAGCGGACGCAACGCACAGCTGTCACTCAAACCCTTCAACATGCACATTCTGAACTTGCTCAACTTAGGCCGGCTCGGCTTCCAAACGCACACTTTCCAAGTGACTTGGTCTGTGACAATTTTGTTCAGCTAGCATCAACATCTTGAGCACGAATCTCCCTTCTTTTCAGTTTCGGTAAACACGTGCTCTGCCAAATTTTCCTGGAGGCAAGACAAAGATGGCTTCGGCAGAGTCCCAAGAGTTCATGTTTCAGCCCTGCCCACAATTTGCGTCTTCCGCCTTTGTGGGCAAAACCATCAGCATTGCCGTTTGCTACGAAAGGTAATCAACTATCCATTATTTGGATTTGTCGATTCAACATTAAAAACAGCAACTGGCTATAAGTTACAATTTCTGATGTACCCCCAGCAAGACAGTAGTTGTGGTCAACGAAAATTGTTCACTTAGTGTTGGCTTTCTTGGAAGAGTAACTTAGCATTGGGAGGTTGGGGCTTGCGAAATGAGTCCGATTTTTAGGGTGGATTGCTGGAACGAGCCGTCTGGGACAAACTCGACCCAACACACGATGACTGGAAACAAGCACAACTAATGGCACTTGGTACGTCCAGGTAAGAAGTCGCGATTTCTTGCGGACACCCCGCGCGTTGAAATTCGGCAAACAATTTCTTAGCTGCGAACAAACTCTGAATGCTTCGCCGCAATCACAAGCGCTCATAGGCACGCGCCATTTTTCTTAGCCACGCGCAGCTGCCAGGAATCATGGTCAAAAAGGGCCACTGCAAAACAAAACAATCAAAATGACCCGTCCAGAAGAAGCGTTGACTCGTCATTTGGACAATCACACACACACATGAAGACAATCGAGCAAAGATACACAAACAATCGAAGAAACAAACATACAAACAAACAAGCATACACACCAAAAACAAAAAATAAAGAAATCCAAGGAACCTAAAGTCACACCAAACAGAAACCGAAGTAAGCGCAAGGTCTGCAGCACCTTTTCTCTGGCGCAAGTCTTGAGCCACCAAAGTGGCAGTGCATTATGACATAGGCAACACGCCCCCTTAGATACATTCAAAGTTGAATGTAGACAACACAAAGTCTGTACAAACAAAGCCGCAAGTGATGAGCCTGCAAAAGTTGTTTTCCTCATGGTGTAAGCTTACACAAGTGAACGCAAAAGGTGGGAGCTCAACTCCTGTATGTGTTAGCATCAAGTGAAGTTGATGCAGGCGCCAACGAAGTCACCTTGAAAAGTTGCTCCTGCTTCAGATGGAAAGTCCTCATAGCTTAATCCATCAACAGCTCAACCAAAGTTGTATTCTGGCTTCAAGCACAACTGCGAAGCTCGTCTCACTTGTCACTGTTCAAAGTTCGGGACACGCCAACACAAAAAGTCCAATGGCACGCGCATGAGGTTTCCCCTACAAGTTTGCCCGGCAAAGAAAGTTCCACTTCTCGCTGGTTCAGCTCGCTCAACTGGAAAGCCGTTTCTTGTCTTGATCAAAGTGATTGACTGAAGCGTCATCAAGTAGAGGAAGTCCAAGAACTACCTATTCCAAATCTTCTCCAAAAAAGTAGTCAAGTTGGCCTGAGCCCCGCAGACATGAAGTTCTGCTTGGTCTGGGCGATTGAAAGTCCAGTGTGTCGGCTGTAGCCATGATTGAAAGTGTAGAACAACATGGCTGAACGCGGCGACATGACAAAGTTCTAAACTGAACCCGTCCACTGACGCCCGCGCGTCGAAGTCTGCCCGTGATGTGGTTCTACAGGGAAAGTGGCAAGGTGATCCACCAGCACAAAGTTGCAGCTTGGGATGAAGCAAAGTGGCAAAGACTGCTGAAAAGTACTCAATCTCAAACTGCATGAAAGTCCATGGATGCTCTCGCCCACAGATCAAACTCGCCGCATAAAATGAACAAATTGCAATAAGTCCTGACCAAAACGCCGAAGTCCCTGCTCATCTGCTCTGGGGAAAGTCTCAGAGTCAATCCCAACGATGATAGTCTGAACAAGTGACGCGCGTCGGCGATGATGTTGGAAAGTAGGTGGGCAAGTCCACCTGATCGTCCTTCATCCTTTTCTTGTGCGTCATATCCTTCACCTTCATGTCAAAGTTGGACTTTTTGCTGGCTGCTGCCTTGTTGTCGAGGGCTTTTCGTGCACCGACACGTGGCTTTTTGCTGGCCGCCGTCCGTCGCCTGTTGTCAACGGCATGGCTTTTTGCTGGCTGTCTCTGGCTGTCGATGGCTATGTTTGCATCGACACGTGGTTCTTTGCCTGCAAGGCTGTTTCTGATGCGTTTAAGCACACGCTTCAAGATCAACGGTTTCATGACAAAAGCCAATGAAAATGTCCAAAAAGATTTGTGTTTTCTTGGGAGAGGGTTGATAATTTGAGGTCAACTAGCATCATGTTTGCCCTTCTGCAGGGCATACCTGCTGACACGCGCAGGGGTCAGGCTTCCCCTTTTGCGCGGCCAGTTTTTTGGCTAGCCTGGAAGACTTGCTTGGAGCAATGCCTTGAAAATCCACATATGTGCAACTGCCAGGACTGACATGAATATGGCACCGGTTAAAGGTAGAAACATGCAGCAGCTCTCACCTGGAATATCTTTGATCAACTCCTCAGCCAACTCGTCAGGACCTGCCAAAAAGGACGGATCTTCTGGTACAAACCACCATGAAAAATGATCAGTTCTTTTTCGAGAAGCTATCACTCTTTTTTCACTTTTCAAGTCCTTCAAAACGAAGGCAAAAACACACCAGAGCCACTGATATCAATCTTCATTTTCACGGGTTTACTTTTTTAACGCGGACCCTCTGGGTCTGGCTTTTGCTGCGTGGCGCTTTGCTGGCTGTCGCCTCTTCTCGAACATCTTTCTTTCTGTCGACGCGGCGGTAGGCACGACGCAGGTCCGTCGTGGCACCTTTTGTGGTGCGGTGGTCGCGGCGTGTTGTCGTGGGCTGCGCGGTAGGCCCGTCGGAGGTTTTTTAGGCCCGTCGCGGGCTGGGCCCATCGTGGCCGTTGTGGGCCCGGCCCGTCGTGGCCGGTTGCCAGTCCGTCGTGAGTCCATCATCGCCCATCGTGGGTTTGTCTCGGCTCCGTCTGTGAGTCCGCCCACGATGTGTCTGCCCACACAATCCTGACATCTAGCAAGCACGAACCAATTCATTCAGCACAAGCCGGAGTGGAATGTTATCTATCCCACTAGCATAAGGACGAAGTTGCCCACATAGAACGATTCACAAAAAGCCGAGACTCAAGTTCGCCCCGCTCGACTTCGATGACTCCGTTCCCCGAAGTGAAGGATCAGTTGATCCTCTGTTCCCCTTGCGCATTTGACCGAACACCGAACCTGACGGAACCAAAAGAGTTGACGTCCCAAACCCCCATGCGCCCCAACCATGCCACATTTATGCATGGTTTTAAATGCTTGTTTGTATATGGTTAACAATCTAAAACGTCCATGGCTAGAGAATCATCAAGAGCAGCCTGCGCATGGCTAAATCGACATGGCTATGGCGAAGAATAGTTCTCCGGAGGATCGCAAGCAAAATGACAGAGCACACTGGTCACCAACCGCACGCAAGTGTGCACCTTGCAGGCGTACTGATTCAAGCTGCACGGAGAGTGATCCAAGGCTCACGCGTGAAGTAGATGTCAGGAAGGTGTTGCCTCGTAGGGCATCCAAGTTTGCAAAGCAATCGAATCCTAACAAACCAGCTGCAACAACTTGATGCCGTTCCTTTTCACAAGCAAATGGGTGCATCTTACTACTTGCCTTTGCAACGAAAGCCGGCTCCTCTTTTGCACTACCTGGCCAGCCATGCCCTGCATTGAGGTTGGGGAGAAAACAAATAAACAGTGCCAGGTCGCCAATCTTGACCGTGGTGGTCAGGACTGCCTGGGAGAGGTCCAATGCATTGTTCTGGCATGTTCTAAGCGACGCTAGCATCTAGCTCCAGAGATCTGCTGATCTCAAAAGAATTATATGGTTTCCACTGCAAACAACAAGGGTCTAGTCCAGCTCCCCACAAGAAGCTACTTTGTTGAAGCCAATATCATGCTAACAACTCACAAGAAGCGATGCTCATGAGCAAAGGCCGACATGAGAAAGAGCAGGCGGAAGGCACTATCGCAAAAACGTCGTAGATCCTGTTATCATAAGATATCATCAGTGTCAGCTTTTGACAGTCTTCAGCATCCGTGAAACCCGCTTCTCTCAGGCTCCCCGCCGCAGGTATCAAGCCAGACCGCATGACCAGCTGAGCCTCCTGGCTGTCTCCCCGACATTTGACTCCCGGTCAAGCACCAGTGCTCGACTGTCACTGGATGCACTGTCTTGCACTGCGACCTAATTCCGATCAAATGCATCGCTACACCTTCAGGTTTAAATCCGGGTTCCAGGTATTGATGTCTTTCGATTTTGTTGAGATCTCGAACCAGCAAAAGCACGACAAAAAGGGACTGACGCGAGGTACCAACCTACCAAAGCGGCACTCGCGGCAAGCATTTGGTTTTCCTTGGAGGTATTCGGTGGGGCCCTTGACACCTGACTGCTGACAAAATTGCAAACTCGCTTGCTCGACCAAAATCACTGTCAAGGGAATTCAGGGCGCTGGCTTGTGGTTGCTCATGCCCTTCTCTCCACCCTTCATCTTTTGCAGCCCACGGCACGTACAAAGAGTGGCTCTGCGAAGCTCGTGGTTTGCTGTAAAACAGGACTTCCAGCCTCAGTTCAAGGTGTGTGGCAACACTTGCGCCAATTTCCGTAGGAGTCACAGCCATCAAACATCTCATCCGCTACAAAACAGTCCCTTCGCCTAACCGCCTTTGGAATTAAATGGCCATCATCTTTGTCATGTGCAAAATGCCACAACCACCTGTTTCAATCCGTGGATGCGCGAGCAGTCCCATCCTCTGAGCCAGTCATGCATGGAAAGCTGCGCTCCAAACCGGTGTCTCAAAAATGAGGTCCCCTTCCCCTGCGCCACTGCGCCACTGAGTGACATACAAGTGGTGCCACGTGCCCCTCCATTCGGCTGCGGCGGTTTCTTCCCCATCCTTGCCAGCGAGCATCAAGTCACCGGGGCAGGTCCGACTAAATAGGTGCGCCCGCTTTTGGGCACCCGCTAGTAAGACTACACAGTTGAATAAGAAACAGAATCGAAGCAACCTCCCATTGCGCACGCAGCTGCAGTCCGCAGTTCAATGACCCTTGTGGCTCAAGAGGGGTGTCAAGGAGACACAGGGTCGCTCTTTGCAATTCTATCAATATGCTGGGCCTGTTGCGGTGCAAGTTACGGGTGCATTGGTGCAATTCTTCACTCGCGCACGCGCCAATGTGCTGCTTGGGCAAAGTGTGTCACAAAAGGCGCAGCAAGAGTTCCTGCTGCGTCGGAAAGTCGCCGTGCCGTTGGAATTTTGGCGAAACGCGACGTTGTAATGAATCTTGAAGCGCTGAAAGCGTTGTGCCTGCGCGTGAAAACGTGTCTTTCGCAACGTTGGATGTCGTTTCGCTGTGCTTCAGAACTTCGCAATCAAAATCTGGCACTACAACTGGCTACCCAAATCCATGTCAGGAAAGTAAAAGGCGGCCGCTCCTATTTCTGGCTGGGACCGCCCCACACTGACCTTCGTCTACGCGGGATGGATCGTGGCTCATTTGCACTGCCAGGTCTGTCGTTCTGGGGTGTATTGCTTGGCGGGCGCGCGCAAGCCTTTGCGCGCGGGTCCTTTTGGTTGACCCTGTCATTCAATCAGCTCCGTTTGGCGGTCGAAATTAATTATGCTGGTGCCACAGTTTTGTGCTAGTCCTGGAAACGCGTCGCAATCGCGTCAAGATTGGATTTCGCGACAGGCGCACTACTTTGCAGGATATTGAGTTCGTGGGGAGCTCACTGCGCGTGACAGGCGCTTAGAGCGACGTGTTGGCAGGCGCAACACTTTGGAGCGCTGTGGTCAATTTTTGTGGCAGGCGCAGTACTGTGAAGCTTAGATTTCGCGGCAAACGCAGTAGTTTGGAGCTTGCAGATGTTGTGGTAGATTGACGTGAAGCGTGAGAAGAGACGAAATGAGACATAATGAGACAGAGACGTGACGATGCGAGAGGAAAATTGCGAAGTAACACGTGAGGAGATGTGCGACGAGAGACATTACCAGAGATGTGAGAGAGGCAAGGAGAGACATGAAGAACAAAGTGACGCGAGAGGCGTCGAGAAACGCAACGAGAGACGTGACACGAGACGCGACGACCTACGCGACGAGATTCTTGATGGGGGGGGCGACGGCGCGAAACATGCCCTGTGACACATAGTGAGACAATGTGACGAAAGACGTTGTGCGAGACGTCGCGAGAGTCTTGACGTAAGACGTGATAGGAGACGCGACGAAGACATGACGTGTAGTGTGACGGAAGACGCGACGTAAGATGTGACAAGAGCGTGACAAGAGCGTGACAAGAGACGTGACAGAAGACATGGATGCGTGACGAGTCGTGACGAGTGACGAACAAACTGACAGGAGACGCGCCGAGATATGTGGCGAGAGACGTCAGGACGAGAGACATGACGACAAACCCGACAAGAGACATGTGGTGAGACGTGAGTTGACCACAGACATGTTGCAAGACGTGACCAAACGCGTGACGAGCGCCCGGACTGAAGCCGTCACGAGAGAGGAGGGACGAAAGATATAACAGGAGCCGCAGGAGCCGCCGAGTTGCCTGATGAGAGGCTGGACGGGAGCGGCGACAACAAGGGACATGACGAGAAGAGTAACAAGAGAAGTGACTCGAGACGCAAAGTGAGGCGCGACATGACGAGAAACGTGACGAGAAACGTGACGAGAAACGTGACGAGAGACCCGCCGACAAGACAAGACGCAAGGTGTGAGGAAAGACTTGATGAGACACGCAACCAGAGACATGATGGAGGTGATGAATTCTAAGCGTGCTCAAAAAAACTTCTTCATCCAAATTTGATTCTATCATGTTTGTCTGGCAGCCGCAAACTGATCAGGGTTCCTGCGAAGTGACAATGATCTCGATCTTCACCTTCTTCCGAAGATCGTTGCCTGCAACAAAACTCCATCAAACCGCACATGGTTGCCGGCTCAAAGGCAGATCAAAATGCGTCATTCCTGCGCACTGCTTGGACTGCTTGGCTCGATAAATTCATTCGCAGTACGCAGGGACCCTTGCGGCTGGCTTGGCGAGAGCTTGCGGCAAGCTAGGGCCGCTGCCGACCTCCAAACTCAACTGCCCCGGAATCTTCTCAAGAGGAATGAACCTCAAGGTAAAAAGTGTGCAGCTGGGACTAGCAAACACAAGCACGTTTCCAGTGTCTTCCACCAGAACAGCGTGTCATTTGATTGCTTCCAGGAAGATGCATCGGGTTCCAGGACTAATGGTTTGGGAATTGTTCCTTTTGAAATCTTTGTGTGCTGTGCTACATGAATAGAACTGTCCTCTCCAGCAGACGTGCCCTGAGCTAGGCACTCGCTCTGCTTGAAGCCCTTGTCAGGCAGCCCCTCGGGCAATTCCTGCCAAGTCTGTGGAAGAAGCACCCTCAAACTCGAAAAGACAACTCTAAGACACTGAAAGGCGCAAAGGCACGATTCGTCTATACAAACAGCACGACGCACGAGCTCACCATTTCTTGGGAAAAGCTGGCATTTGACTCATTGACTCGACATTGGCCGAAACCAAGTTGCATCAGAACTGTTTCGACTTCACCGGCGCTTCCCGATGCCAGCTCAAGATAATATCTTTAAGTTGATCCAGCCAATCGTTTGCCGTCAGTCACCCGCCACACAGACTCGAATAGATAGCAATCGGATTAAAGACTCAAACGCTTTCTGCGGCTGCGGGCCTTCGACCAAGCCCAGCGCTTGCGCTGCTGCCTTCGCTCATCCTGTGAGGGGAGTGGCACCGCCGCGGTAGCCTGGCAGTAAGACACGGCCTCCTAAAGCAATGGGAACTTACAAGCGATGGCAAGGGGAGGTCATGCTCATCTCTCACTCTTCTGACCGCTTCCTTGCTAACTCATGATTGACTCATGATGGATGTTCGCCACCCGTTATCTGTCCCTCACTCTCTCATTCCCAAGCTCTCACCGTCATCCATCTGCGGCTTGCTTACGTTCATTCTGCACTATAATTCACCAACGTTATTGTTTCCAAAACCCAAAAAAGGAAAGGAGCTCGCAATTCTTTTTGCGGTCCATTGGTCTTTGGTTTCTTCTCAACCTATGCATCTGCGGACCCAGTTGGTGAGGGAGAGCTTCGAAAGGTCGTCAAACATGGAAACAATACATGCTTGTTTCTTGTTTCCAAGGCGTGAATCTCCTGTCTGTGACTGGTGATCCCTGTCAATTCTGCCTTCAGCCTGGCTGCAGGCGCTGTCAGGTCCGAATGCACCGTCACAATAGACTCTCTCTGAAGGCTGAGAAACATTATTTTCGCACAAGGTAAGCAGACTTCACAAGAGAGATCTGTGCCGCAAGAACGCAACGCACGACTGGGGCTTGGGAAAATCTGCTCTGAGCGCAAGGCTGGCACAACAGCACCACTTGCAATGCGTGCTGTGCGCTGCATTTGCTCTTCACCTATTCCTCTCGACACAATGCGCAGGACGGATGCCCACTGCACCTACCACCTGCAAAGCTGCAATCATTAAAGAAATTACCGAAGCTTCTCCTTCGGAAAAGCAGGACTCAAGTGAAGCCAGCAAGCTCTTGCGCTACACGGCACTTGCTTGGCTGCTAGACTTTCGATGGATGTTCGAGCTGACACGGATCTAGGGGGTTCAAAGCGCAATAGAGCGACGCTTCCTTTGAGGGCGATTTGCCAAACTGGAGCATGGTTTGCAGTGTTGGCAGTAGTTGGCAGTGTTGCAATATGGTTTGCAGAAGGCAATTCATGGCGAATTGGCGCCTCCTGGCCTGGACTTCAGGTTGAGTGCGCTCAGATCCGCTGCGGATGCACTCCCTCTGGAACTCAGCCGTGCCACAGTGGGGAAGGGCCAACTGGGCCAACAAGTCTCACCACAGCGCTACCTGACCGGCTGTGACATGGCAATCGCAGACAGGTCGCATAACAAAGGTCGCTCATGTCACACAAAATGCTTCATCATATGCAGAAACGAGCACAGCTGGCTAGGGTGTATCTATGATCCTGGTAGGTGCACTCTTGCACTCTTGTGCGCGCGTCTTTCATGTCGAGGGACTTTCTTCACTGAATAATGCAACCAAAATGGTAGCACGAAGTCCGACGACTTCTCCACACTTTGGAGAAGTCGACACTGCAGCGATCGCCGAGAGAGATGCTTTAATTGTTGAATTATACGCAGCGCTGTGTTGTGTGTGCGCTAGAGTCACTGCTCAAGCAGGCTGACACTGTCTTCGAAGCTTTGGGATTGCTCGGGAGTGCACTCCCACGTGCCATGATGCATGCGTGCCAATGCTTCTTGAAAGTGTTCCAGGGTATGCGCTGAAAAGCCTTCGTCACAAAGGCAGCTCGGTTGAATCAGAAGTACGATGCCCAGAAGCGCGTTGTCCGGATGCAACGTGTGTCAAACCTCAGGAATGTTGCCCAGAAATCTCGTGCCATTGCGTCTTGTGCATTTGTTATTGATTTCGACATTTTGACTGCGGATGAAGACTTCCAGGCAGCTGACAGCCGCCTTCATCGAGCCTCCCGAGATGGAGAAGTACAGCTGGACCTTGCCAACGCCACTGAGGATTCGAGCCCAATTTGTTGAATTGCCCGCTTCGAAAGGTGTGCCATGAATCCAATGAACGCTTGGTGCTGAACAACTTAAGTGGACGGGTATCCGGGTATCCATGCAATCCGCTGACTCGAATCCAAGAAAGCCAGGGCCGGCCGGGCCTGGTAGGCCTTGGGTTTGCGCCCCACTGGTGCAGGCGGAGCTCCCTTCAGCGATGGAGCATCAGCGGAAATGCACCTGGCTCAGGAAAGTTTAAGAGGAGTCTCTCGCACGGCACCAAAGAGAAGGCAAATGCAAACGTCCCGCACTTGAGGCAGTGACAAGCGCAAATTCTTCAGCCTCAACACGTCACGGTGAAATAAGCGCTAGATGCCCAAGCTCCAAACGGCATGTCAGCACTGAGGCGCAGGCGTGATGAGCATTGTTGGCTCTTTTGGGAGCACCACGGTGTGCTCACTCATGAAATTTGTTAAGGAACTCGACCTCAACGATCGGGCAAGCTCGTTGGCAAAGCAAAAGAGCGTCCATAGAAAGAGCATGATCAGCCGAGCGAAAGCTTGCAAGGCTGGCGCTGAAACGAAGCAGTCCAGCCAACGTGTTGCGCGTGTCTCGGAACGGCGATGCTCGGCGCTGGGACGCGTTTTGCGGCTACTTCGACCGGCTCAAAGGCTGACGCAGTTGCGCCACCGTGCAGTGCCGTATTGGTGCATGCCGGCGATGTCCAGTTGAAGGTGATGCTGCGCGGGTGTCATATGAATAAGGCCCCAAAGAACTGCGACTGCGACGAGCTGATGTGGCTGTCCGCAAAACTGTTGTTCCACTTACAAACGGGCTTATGTGGCTGACATGTACCAAGCTTTGCTAGCGTGCCAACAAGTATCAAACCACCACGAAGAAACAGCAGCAACACAAAACAACAAACAGCCGACAGCACAAACAATAGGCAAACAAAACAAAGTTACAAACAACACAAACAACAAACAACGCGTTATCGTACTTCCTAAATCGTGGGCAACCAGTTGCTGATTCGCGGCGTTTGCTGGGTCGCTCGCGATTGACAATTCAGGGCTTCATGTCTATGCTCAAGGAACCTGGGCCCAGTGAAGGGCACGCATTTGTCGGGGTGTTTTGAAGCGCCATGTTCTTGCTTCTGTTTGCGGCTGGTCCTTGGCGGGCTCCAGTTAAGGTGCCATGCGCAGAACCGGCAAGTCACAGCGACAGTCATCGAGTTCAGATGTTACAGAAGCTCTTGTTCCTTCTGACTGGTTTGTTGCCTTGGTTCTGTCACATGACTAAGCGCTTAGGCGGCCACTGGAATCCAGCAAAGGCTTGCCACAGCAGCAGCGGTAGCTCTGAAAATCTCCTAAAGTCTCAGCGCCAACTCCGAGGCAGTGCGTGAAATGCTGCAAGCAACCCATAAGCAACCCGGTGAGCCTCGTGAGCCTCGTGAGCCGCACCACGCATTTCTGTGAACTTCTCAACGCATTCAGCTAAAGACTACAGCTTCTTTCACGCGTCACCCTCGAACTGGAACCCAAAGCGCCAAACCCGAAACAAGAACGGCCGACTTGTTGCATCAAATCTGATAGTTAGGTTGGTCATAGCTTTGGGACAATAGAATGATGGATGCTTTCACTGCTTGGCCATGGCAGTGTCCTGCGACGCTGAATCATGGTAGGTCTCGACCATGCTGATACCTTCAGCTGCATGTGTGACCCGCCAGTCCCCGGACTCCAAACAAATATCGCATGGCAACCCCGCATGTTCCCCATTCTGAGCTGGTGTTGTTGGTTTTCGGCAACGCCGATTACTGAATCTGTGTGAGCAACGCGCAGCGCGCATCGTTCATAACTGTCATACATCTTGCACTGAGGCTGCTGCTTCGACAATCCGATCATCAATGTCATAGGCAATTGCCTCGCAAGAATTGAGCCCAAGATCTCAAGCCCAAGCGAGCTGAGCAGCAACCGCGACTCTCCAAGCGCACAGGAATACCGTTCCTTGTTCCAGGCGCGGACAATTGTGCACTGTGCAGGAGTGGCAACAACATGGCGCTTGCATCGTCCAACAAGAAGAGTGGGCACGATGCTCTTGCCAATTGTAATTGAAATCTATACCGGGACACAAACGATACGAGCAACAAGGGGATATCATATCGGGATATCGGCTGGCGATTTACACATAGAATCAATCCTTTCCAATGCCACCTCTCGCCCGAAGTCAGCATGCCCTTCGACCAGCATGTCTGTCAAGATCAGCGCCAAATGCCAGGAATGTCTGTGGCCAAAAACAGTTCAGGTCTGCCTTCCAGCCAAGCAGAACACACGTCCAACAAGTGTTGCCACGCAGTGTGCCACCTGCCCTGAATCCAAAAATCCAGAAGTCCAGCTGACGTATTTTCCTGTCAAACTTAGAGAAAACAGAGAAACCAACATCAACACAGAACACACCGCCTCCATGCCAAAAGCATGGTCCATTCTGGACCAGGCATGGAGTCTGGCTAGCAAACGAACGTTGACCTAGCACGAGGCGCGTACCAAAGACTAAGCCTCAGCCCCCAATAGCTCCGGTACACCATCCTTGGTTCCGGAGCTCTTGGGCGATGTCTCCTATGAAGGATCTCGACCTTCAGTGGGTGGATCCTGGATCTCTGGATTCCCGGATTCCTGCATTTCTGGATTTCTGAATTCCTGGATTGCTGGATTTCTGAACTTGTGTGTGTGTCTGTATCGCTGCAAGTGCGTGAGTCTCTCTGGATCTCTGCCTGGGTCTCAGCCGGCGTCTCAGTCTGTCTTGTGGTTGCGTTTGTGTCTCTTTGTGCGTGTAAGTGTGTGTGTATATATACGAGTTTGTGGTTGTGTCTCTGTCGCAGTCTGTGTTGGTGTGCGTGTCTGTGTTGATTTCTCCGTGTCTGTGTCTGTGTGCGTGTCTGTGTCTCTGTATCTTTACCTGCGTGTGTCTGTCTGTGCGGGCGTGTGCCTATGTGTCTGTCTGTCTGTGTCTTTCTTCGTATACGTCTTTGTCTGTGTCGATGTGTCTGTCTCTGCCCCCCGTCTGTGGCTGTGTGTCGGTCTGCCCCCCCCCCCCCGGCAACACTCTCGCCCCCGGTGAGCCCCCACAGAACCAGGCCGGAGGCCATGCAATAGGGCAAAAGCCCAACTGGCCTGGAACTGGTAAGGCCTGTCAGCTTCCAGTGGAGCTTGCTCCTGTTCACCGTGTGTGTTGCAGAAATGGCCGAGGCGCCGTCTGATCGGATGAAACACATATTGAAAACCACCGCATAGACTGACCACATGGTCCTAACCTTCAGTGGCACCCACTCTGCTCCGCTAAGGCGCCTAAGCCGCAAGCTACATGTGGGTGATCCAGTTGAAGATTTCATCCAATTCGTTTGGCCATTGGCTTGGTCAGAGAAGCAGTCCTCATCAGCCTGCCAAAAACCTGCCCGAGCAAGATAAAGCAGGAAGTCACCAACTCGAACCATAACCACCACTACGAGTGCCACGACCACCATCACCACCACCGGCACCGCCACCACCACCAACAACACCACCACCACCGCCACCATCACTTGTACCTCTTCAACCACCACTACCAACTTGCACATAGAATCCAAACATCGTAGACACTTGAGGAACAAAATGCGGACTGGCCTTGTCCAGCAAGCGCCCTGTTAAAGACCGAGGGGAAGTAAAAGTTCCGCCTCGCAGGCGCAGCAGAGTACAGAAGTCTGCGCTCCAAGCGTTGCTTTGCAGAGTGCGCTAGTCCTCCAGCCCTATGCCAGTGCCCGGGAATAGCGCTGTGGCGATGCAACTTCATGGAGAGAATTGAGATAATTGCTCTTGCTTCAGCCCTAACATGGCGATGCTTTGCCCACTGCAGAAACCGTTGGTGAAACACTGATAGAGGCGGTTGTCTAAGGTTCCCAGAATGAACGCCAGATTGTTTTCATTTTTTCTGAGAAGGAACATCTGACCAGCAATGGCACCCAGAGGCTGAGATCAAGGCATGGGCCGAACGTCTTTGTTGGCATCCACCACGAAAAGGAAGCAAAGCTGATCTGGGAGGTCCTGCAAGCACACGGATCCAAACAGTTGGAATCTCGGAACCAGGTGTGCTCGGCGCTCCAGGAAAGCTGGCTTAGTGGCCAAAGGATTCACGAATATGCTGTCGTTCCAGTCTGAAAGCACTCCAAATCTGTGCTGGGCCCGAATAGTAGCGTGGCTTTTTGAGCGTCTGCGGCCCATAATTTCCACATCACGCGTGCTTCTTGTCTAAATGCCTCAATCGCACACTGCAAATGCGTAATCCCTTGCATCCTCGCCATGCGCATCATGTTCCTTGAGCGCTGCCTACCCATACCACCACTCAAGTAGCCGGGAAGCGCTCAGATTCCACTCTCCAAGTGAATATTGTTCGCTTGGCTAATCCTTTGGAAGTCACCGTCTGAAATATTAAATGCGCTCGCGCACGACGGCGCTCTCAGCTAATTGGGTCCGGATAGAAAGGCATGTTGATGGCTGCGATGCGCTTTGTCTTCACGATCGTCATCTCGCCCTGCAGCCATGTTTGCACTTGTCGACAGAGATTAAACAAAAAACTGGGCGCGTCTCTGCTCAACAACCTGCGCCAAAGCACTCTAGCACCAGGAAAGCCTTGAATTCCCCAACCTCTTCGGCAGTTGCATCCGGCCACACCCGAGCCTCAGAGTGCATTGGTCGCGACAAATTGCCTTCTGCAAGCCACAGTCGCGTTTAGCTTCATGGCTTGAGCAGATTGCTTGGCTTCAACAGGTGCAAAACTTCCAAGACTGATTGTGCTCCTCGATCGATCACAGGGTCCTCAAATTGCCCTTTCCGATGCATGAATTAGAACAGGGTTCTCTACGTGGGCTCAACAACTCATAGCTGCCCCTTCAGACCAATCGAAGTGAGGACAAATCCAGCGCAGCTGCAACTGTTGCTTCACACAGAGCCCATATGCTGATGCCCATGATTCAGAGGCAGCGGCTTGAAAACTCATCGAGTGGACCCTCAGGGCAACGAAACGCATGTGACTTTGCGCGCAAACATGTTTGAAACAATGATCAGGAGCGCATGCTAACCGCATGGCATGTAAGTGTTCAAAAAAGGAGGTCTTGTGCTACATTTCATGCTCCGGTGAAACCGCGTTGCGTTGAGCTGTTTCAGCAACGCCTGCAGAGTAGACCCATGACCAAGATGCGTCATCACGCCTAGGCCACCTATGGGGAAGCCTAGGCAGCAGCGAACCGTTGACAACCTTCTCACACAAGTCTATGGCAGGCGGAGCATACACATGCATAGGGTTGGAACCTGAATCCACAGCCCCCTCCTTTGAGATGGTACAGCAACGAAAATATCCGGCATGTTTTGCAACCCGCTATGATTTGACATTCATCCGTGGCACATTGAAAATGGACGATACACATCCGCCCTGGCTACCGTCTCTCACGAGTGCTCCTTTGTGGTGTACATTGCCGTCACCACCGCCTGCCCGATGACCAATCTCGCGAGCCCCAGGATGACCAATCCCAGTTGCCCCGGCTGCGATCGCTCCAGCCCCTCCAGCTTCGGCTTCGGTAAGCTGCGGAGGAAGAGGAGGACGGCTGAGCGTGCCCACGAGCTCGATCGTCAGCGCTTTGCTTCTGATTGCGCTGCGCCAGCCTTTTGGCGTCATTCGTCGCCCTCGCGCAGATGTCACGGATCTCGGCTTCGAGGTTCTCGGCTCCGGTTGCCCGGGGCGTCGGAAACGGCCCGCCAAAGGTGACGATGCTCCTCATTCCCGGGAGGATGTTCAACAGTGCGAACATAGCGATAGCCCTTCGTGCCGTACCCGGGCCCGACTCCCAACAGCCTCTGATCATAAGTACGAGGAAATTCAGGGAGCACGCAAAAGCGGTAGAGGGACATCTGGAACAACTGTCCCGCTGATGCCCTTGCTCGACCATCCTCGAAGCGATCGACGGCGTTGTTGTACCCCAGCCTCAATCTGCTTGGCCTCGAACAAGGTTGCGCCACGCTTGGAGACATCAGTGTGCCCCTTGAAGTCGCCAATCATGAGCTGGTTGATGCTTTTGCCAACTCGATGACAAACTTCTTCGAGCATTTGAGTTCGCCTCTTCGCCGTCCGAAACAACTGGACGTCGTCGTCTCCTTTGCCCCATGCCCGCAGCGTTGGCATTTTAACTGCCCTTGCATCATATCTTCTCCACAGGCTGCACAGTCGGTGTAGCGAATAGGCATGGCGAAGGCTTTGAACCTGACAGCCGACGAAGATGTCTCTCGATCAGCCTCGGGTTGCCCGGGCGAGTTGAGCTAGCAGCAGTGTCCTCATTTGTCAGCTCCTCTTCGGGGTTCTTGACCCTGTTTCCCTCCTTGTCAGTCTGGAAGGCCTCATCCGATGTCACGATGACGGCTTGCCTTGCGGCAAGCGATTCGACACTCGTCTGCTTTTCCAACGCCTCCAAACGGAGGGTGTTCCTCCAAGGACTTCGCCAGTAGCTCCGTCCGTGTAGTAGAGGATTGCGTGGTTGGGCACGATGTCGGACGTCAGCATGACATTGGACTCGGAGAGGAAGAAGATCACGCCCTGCTCAACTGCATACTTGAAGTCAATCACCAATTCAATGGGCATAGTGGCACGGACTCCGGCGTTGGGCAACGCCCGTTCGTACAATGCTGTCCGCCGCGGCCTTGCTGGTCCGATGGGACAACTTGCCAGGGGCATCCTTCATCCGCGAAAGCGTCAGACCGGCCTTGCGGGCGTCCTGTGGGAGGTGATTCCCGAAGACGGCCTTTGCAAGCGCGAACTGATTCCGGCTGATGTCGCCATCAGTGGCGTGGCCTTGGCTTGCACGAACCTTGATGACGACCCATTCCTGATTGTTCTCAGCGGCCGAAGGATCCTTGATCGCGAGGATCGTGAATCGGCACTTGGGGTCGCTGGCGAAGATCTTCAACAGAGTCTTGCACCCGATGTTGCTCCGGGTCTTCCTGTTAAACTTGTCACACAGCTGATGCGCATCAACGAAGTAGTTCTCATCAAAGTCCAACGGCCGACGCTCCTGAAACCAGCCTCGCAACATTCCGGTCAAAGTGGAGCTTCTGTCCGTCGACGCGGGCTCTCCCTTGAGGAACTTCGGCATGTTCAGAATCGTGCCGGCGAGAATCCTTGCCTCGCACTGCTGGCCGCGGAAGGTCACGGCGCCGCCGGGCTTGCCTGGCAATTCACTGCCGGCAGGGGCTGCCCCCCGCACATCCGACGCCACTGACTTTGGCATTGGCTTCGCCTGTGCCTTTGGCGTAGCCGTTGCAGTGCACTTGGGCGTCGCCGGAGCGGCTTTGCTGCCAAGCGCTGCCACGGCGGCACTTCCTTGCGGAACTTGGCCAACTTGATGGGGCGCAGAAGGTCCTCCCGTGATTGAAGAGCCTCTGAATGCTCCCCGAGGTTGTAAGCAGCCGTTGCGGCTACCGGTGTGGGAAGCTGAAGAGCAACGAGCGCACGACTTGTTTTCTGAGCCGAACTAGCAGTGACAATCTTCACGCTGTCAGCAAACTCAGAGAAACACTCACGGATCAGGTCAGTCATTTCATGCGTGTAGGACTCAGCACGTTTGAGGGCCGCCCCCCTGGACTGTCCATGATTTTTTGTGTACTTGTATTGTTGCAATTTGGCCAATGATTCACAGGAAGAATCAACAGTCCATGACTTTTGCAACAAATTTCGATCCTTGTCAACAACGCCAAACATGCATCCGTCGCAATTGTACTTGACCATCTCATACTTCACGCGAAAATCATGCACAAAATAATTCTTCCAATAACTGCAGAGCTTGGGAAGTTCCATGTTGACCACAAGCACAATGTCAAGTTGTCGAAGCATAGTGATAAGTTTGTCCAACCGCTTCAACAATTTGCGAAACAACGCTTTGTGCTCCTGGATCTTTTCTTGGCCTTCTTGAGTCTGACCATTGATATTGTTCCAGGGGCATCCACCCGTACACGGAAGTGAAGCATGAACCATCACACAGAGCGGTGTTTTGGACTTGACATTGTTCCTGAAACCCTGCACCTCATCAAATACCCGCTGCAAAGTATCGGCAACCAGCGCACTCTTAACACCTCGCAACCATGCGCGGATAACCTTGACTTGTCGCCGAGCTTGAAATCATCTGAACAGCAAAACTCGCATAGAAAACGATCGTACGTTTCATGCGTGGAAACGGCAGAAGCTTGCGCTTCGCTAGTGGGGGCTGGCTTTATTGTAACGTTTCCATCCAACTGCACCCACCGTACTCCAATAAGATTGCAAGCATGATCCCATTTTGCTTTGCTTGTGAACGGCTTGGTCAAGATGTCCGCAACCTGATAAATTGTATTGACGTTGACGAGGTTAAAGAAGCCTTTCGAAAATTGTTCTCGAAGCCATGCCAAAGAAGTTCTTTCAGTTCTGTCAGCATGACGAAGCTGTGCGGAATTTCCAGTCTGAATAATGTGAATTGTCGCTTGATTGTCTTCACAAAAGGCAACTTTGAACTTCTCATTCAAATGAACGTTTAATCCGCGAGGAGGTGCTATCGTCCTTTCATGCTGTTCGAAACCACCACACCAAATCTCGTCCAACTCGGGGTCGACATACACCAACACGGATTGCCCCCCTGACCGGAGTTGCCCCGGCCTGGAAAGGAATCGGCTTGGCGTTGCCGCCAGCTGGCTGCTTTTCTTTGGGCGCATCAAGCAATTCCCAAAGCACACTCATGAGTGAAAGCGTGGGTAAACCTTGCGCTCGCACGGAGTGATTGGCAGCAACAACTTCGTCTTCTGTTGACGACATAGCAGTACTTGTCTGCTTCTTTGAAAATGCACTGACTGGGTAGTACGTGTTGGGACCGACTATGACCGTTCGGCGCCCTTGTGCTCGACAGGGATTGCTTCCAGAAAACGCGTCTGCCTGTCATGTGACACAACCAGTTTGGGCGCCTTCTTGTTCTCGTCAGGCGTGTCATCGGCCTGTGCTCCATCTTGCGTTTGCCTTTCAGAATCTGATGCATGTCTCGCTGTACAGCAATAATTCATGGAAATCACAGACCGAGATCTTAAATCTCCAATACTGGCACCATGGAGCAAAAGGCAAATGGGTCAATACATGCTTCTTGACAATGCCTGGAGAAGGCAACTTCGGCAGTGGCAACTCAAGAGGTTCGCGCGCTTGCCAAGCCCCCACAGTCTGCATGCATCACGCAAATCACGCAAAGGGGAATCCGCTGTTACAGTAAGCTCATCGATGGTGAGACCTCCGGGTTTACATCTCGGGCTGCAATGTCAGCGCGTTCAACCTTCTCAGCAGTTGGCTTCTCCGGGCATTCGGATTCGGCCTGAACAGGCTCAGAACCATCTGCTCTCAACCTTGAAGGGGCTGAGGGGCTGATGCAATTCAGCTGGCACTGCTTCATCATCGTTGGACACCCCGAGTGAATCCCATCTGTTCGCACCTCATCATGCTTAAAGTGATCAAAGGGGGCTGGTCCAGCTCAGGAATCTGACAGTCCGCCCTGCTCATACTTGCAACGCTCGCTGAAAACTCAATCATCTGCCACGGCAAAAAGGCTCCACCGTCCAGGCGGTGTCCCAGCAGTGTGGCCAACTCCAGGAAGCTTTTCTTCCGTGGCCGCTGGAGCCCTCTGCCAGCGGGGTCCCGCCGGCACGGGCTCCGGCTCCACTTCTAAGAGGACCTCTTTGCGGTCACCATCCTCCATGTTTAACTCCCACGTGTGTAGTTGAAAGACTTCACGTTGGTCAAGGTCTCCTTTTGCATCCTCGAAGGCCGGGCCACTAGGGGTCTTGGGGAAGTTGCAGGACTGTTGGCGGACCTGATCTCCTCCCAAGTCCTGGTACGTGTAGGCCAGATTGCGTGGGTGTTTGCCATGTCCCTGAATCATGTACCGAGCAGGATGTGCATCTTGGTCGCAGTTGTCCCCTTCCAGGACCGGTCTGCCGCCACCTCCAGTCCACAGTGAAGCCTAAAGGGCCTTCCGCTTTTTTGTGAACTGTACGCCAGGGATTGTAGGGTCGCGTTCTTGGCCAGAACCGGCCACAGAGCAAGCACCCAAGCAAGCTCCACGTCTCACGGCGTCCCCAATCCCTTGGCCAGGGCGCTCAGCTTCTCGGTGCTCGTTCGCCGAACTTTGTGAGCACCGTCTTTGGTAATCTGAGGATGCCCGTCTCACTGTCACAAAGCTTGGTCGGGGCCGCATCGTCCGCCCGCGCCGTCCGCCCCATCCCTGTTTTCCCAAAACAAGTTTGGACAACATAAGACTTCTGAGCAAGAGAATGAAAACAGAGGGTGGCTCAAGTATGACTTTGCGCAAAACAGTCAGCTCTTCTCCAACTGCGCGACGAAGCCCGACTGAAGTACAAGGGCGACCCGGCCCCGCTGGGTTGTGCCGCTTCCCCCAGCGGATCAGCACCTGAACAGCGGGCCCAGAGCTCTGCAGGTCTGCTTGGCATCTCACGTTACCCTAGCATGAACAACACAAATCAACATTCAGCAAGAGCAAGATCTCCAGAAAAATCCCTAAAGAGAAAAGCGTCAGCAAATCCAAACACAGAAACACAGAAACTCCAAACCGTGCCATGCTCAACTCAGGAGCCCGCGCCCCGCATGGGCCAATGGACCATGGTAGTGCCCAAAGCCCAGCTGGCATGCTCGGGAGAGTGCAACAGCCTGCGAATCAAAAAGAAACCTCGACAGCAAAATGCGCTCCAGATGCGTTCAAAATGCGCTCAAAATCCGAGATTCCTGACGGATCGCTACATCCTTGCGGCACGGCACACTGCGTGACACGCGCCTCAACGATGATGAGTTGAAGAGCACAACCCGCTGCAGCTCGGTGCGGAGCGCGGGCAGCACCTCCATTGCCATGAAACATGAATTGCGGCATGTGCCTGGATGCTAACCTGAGAAGCATCACGTGCCTTGAGCCTGTTCAGCCAAGTGAGCTTCAAGATTGGGGTATGGAAAGATTTTGAAGATCTCCACCAGCTGGAACACATGTCCTTCAAAATAAGGTTCGTGTAAATATTGGAGTTGGCTTTCTTCTCCAGAACCCGTCTATTGGTCGTATAATATGCTGTGAATGGGTCAGAATGTTTGATTCGCTGTCACATGATTCTTGCCTTTGAGGGTAAAAACAAAAGGAGAGATGTAGATATGAACAAGAGATGGCTTCCAGGGCCCCAACCAATTGATTGTTTAAAGTTTATCTCAGAATCATTGGGGAATAGAGCTAATTGTTCGTTCAAGTGAGCTTCAAGACTGAGAGGGTTTCAGAATCAATGTTCAAAGCTCATTGCTGCACCCCAAGCCCGCAGTGGTGCCCAAGGTCCCCGGCGTATCTTCGAATCAGCAACAGCACCTTCACACAAAACGTGATGGCCGATTGAATGAATTAGGACTCCCTCAGGATCTAGTTTGTTTTATGTGCACTTTGTCTAGGCTTCCAGGAGTGGCATCCCTGGCTTTAGCGTCGGTAAGGAGGGTCGGAGATAAATCGAAGTTGGTGTCCTGCGCTCTGCTCACGAAGCTTTCTCTTAGTCTTCGAAATCCCACGTTCGCCTTTCGAGAAGCAATAGGACAGCACCTTTGCTAATTATTCTCGTGCGTTTGACCGCTGTCCTTTGAGGCCGCGACAGCCACGCCCATTCCCAGTCCGGCTGCATGAGTGATGAAGGCAGCCAAAAGGAAAGACAAGTCCTGGCCACTGGAAGCTGATTGAATCGCCCGAGATGTTTGCGAACGATTGGAGAATGTCAGGACTCGCTGCAACATGGCCGATTGGCCAGGGGACACACGTGAACCTTCCCAGCCCACCTTCGCGGTGACGCCCTTCGCCCTGGCATTTGGGCCAACATGAAGCGGTCAAAGCTTCTCAAGCCCTTCCGTCATGCACAGAAGCTAGGCGCAAAGTGTAGACAGGGTTTTGGCAGAGCCCGCAACCGTGCCGCCTCCAAAGCAAGCTATCACCAACCTGGCACGAATCAACACCATCACGTCTGGCCAAGAACGGCTCTGCACAAGGCTTCATTCCACACAATTTGTTTAGAATGTCTAGCTGCTGCGCTGCCACACCTGGGGGGCCAGTAAGTTTGTGGGTTTTCGGGTAGCTGCGAAGCCGTCAAGTTGGCACCCGGATTTACCAAACGCAAGCGCGCTGCATCTGGCGAGGGCGAGGCGGGCCCAAGACCGAGGTCGACTTCAAAAACCGCAGTCTCCGGTCGAGCTTGCGCCCAAACGCTCTCGAGGCAGGTGTGCCCGTGAGAGCGTTTGAGTGGGGGCTCAAAGGTTTGAACGGCACAAACGCATTGAAGGCGGGTATTCTGGATGCGCTTCTTGGCAAGCTTGTCCTTCCACAGATGATTGCGCATAGTGTTCAGCGGTCTTTGGAGCGAGCGCGCTTCTTGAGCGGACGCGCTTCAGAATTGGCCGCGCATCGCTAAAGAGGCCCAGAGGTTCTCTGAAGAGGTGCACTTGTCATGAGGCAGGCGCGCGCAATGCCGGCATGGCCTCCTGCAAATTGTATCAAGCCGCGGCGTCTCTGTTATTGCTCCTTTCTACTTGCCAGTCCAGCCTGCTCGTCTGAACCTGGTCAACTTGATATATTTCATTCACTGTGCTCGACGCTGAGCCAATAGCTCATCCTCGCGTCTTCGAGGTGAAACTGAGCTGCAGCTCGTCGTTTCACATCTCAGTGCAGCTCTCGTCGCCGTTCGGCCACAATTTCCTCTGAGCTGTTGCTTGTCTTCGCATCGCATTTGTAAGAAACCCTTCAACTGACCATATCGATCGGACCCGCACCATCGCCTGCCTTCACCTGATGGAAGACAAAAGCTGGAGCCCCTTTGGCATCCCACAACCACCTTGGCAGCCCCAAAGGAGGCTGTATGTGCGACGCTTTGAACACCAACCGCAAAAGAACATCGTCCTCTGTCACGTTGCTTGCATTTGCTCCGGGTCCTGGGCCTCGCAGATGTCAAGTTCATGCCGGGAAGGTCGACCTCGTGCGCACGCGTGCCCAACACATGGTGTTTTCTGCTCTCTTTATCCTGGCATCTTCAAAAGCAAGTCGCAACACATTGCTCACCTCGGTAGACACCGCGTTGAGCAAGGCATTTGCAAAGCGCAAATGTTCGGCCTGGCCAGGCTTTGGTCCAGTCGTGGCAATGGCATTCTGACCCATCCAACAAGCATGATTCACCATGTGTGTTTTCCCGCCAGTCTTTAAAACGCCCAAATGCCCGGGTCTTGCTTGATGCATGCACCAGCAGCAGTCAGCTTGCTCCACTCTTCCACTCCAACCATTTTAGCCAATTCGCACCACGTCCTCGTCATGAGCGATCGACGAGCAGGGATCCTCACAGAGGGCGCTGAGAGTGTAATCCTCTGACCCTGTTCAGACTCTTCGCTTTTGGCAATTAGCTGCCAATTGAAGGGCACACACTGAATTGGTGCACGAGGCCCTATTTCTTGCCACGGATTCAAAGGATCGAGCCACAAACACATGGAATGATGCGAATCAAGAAAGACTGATAGGATGGGTGGTCCCTGAGGGCAAACATGATCACAACCCGCGTGAGACATCTGCTCACAAGGTGTCTCTCGTTTCGCGAGAAATGTCAACGACACGGCAATGGCACATTCCGACCTGTCAGGGCTAGCGCAGCCTGCCTTTGGGAAGAGCCAGTCCATGCCCGCCACAGGTGCCACAATGCGCTCAATGTCAGGCTTCCTGAAATGACAAAAGCGCCGCAGAACGAGAGAAGCGACGAAGCGACGAAGCGACGAAGCGACGAAGCGACGAAGCGACGAAGCGACGAAGCGACGAAGCGACGAAGCCGGTTGCCTGACCGGATCTGGAATGCGACGCAGGTCTGGGGCCCTGACAGCAGGCCACCAGAGAGCAAAGAGGCGCTGGGCAGGGACAGCGCCTCGTACACTGGAGACCTTTGGCCATTGGAACACTGCAAAAAATTGACCTGCGGGCCTACATGTTGGCTAACACATCGAGAATGCCTCTTGGGGCCTAGAGGCACATCACTTCCTTGTCTGGAATGTTGCACCATGCCTGTGGAAAAACAGGACCGTCGATTCAAGCATGACTTGCAGCCACGCACAGGTGTCTCATCTTGAAAAACTGACCACCAGCATCGAACCCAAACAGCAAGTGCGCACACCAGCTCTCTTCAATTGGACCACCAGTTTCAGCAACAGCATAAAACAAAAAGTGCAAGCGCCAGGCGGGGGGAAGCGCGCACACACGCCCACCCACGCACGCACGCAGAGGTCTCTTCCGCCTGCGGGCGCTCTCACCTGCCATAGTCCGCACAGATCGACGGGTCTCCATCCCATGAGCATCGAGATGCAAGGTCTCCTTCCGCAGGATGCCGCCGCGACCGCGGCCACTTGCAGCCCTGCTTCCCAACTTGGGGCCTGTATGCTTTGTTTTTGTTTGTTTCTGCTCTTTCTCTTTTCTGTTGGGTTGTCGCCCCTTCGAGGGCGTGTCTCGCCATTTTCAGAAGTGGCGCCTTCTGCACGTACCTGCACGTTATAACACTCTGAAGTGGCCCCTCCGACTCGTTGTTGTTGCCTGCCCCTGTTAAAGTAACCAGAGTAAAGCCATTCCGCTTGGACTACCCGTGACTACCCGACTCGAGCTGACCCACTCGAACTCGAGTGTAACAGTTGTCTCACGGGAGCTTAAGTGTGTGGAACGCCTTGGAGCACGCTTGTGCTTTTGGAAGTCGGCCCGCTCCGGGGGTCGCTCGTGTTTATGCTGAAGATCTCTGCAGTCGTCTGTCCTTGCATTCACGTGTGATTGTCTGCGTGAGTGTGTGCATTGTGCATGTCGTGATTGTCTCCCGGCCACAGCCCTGAAACAAAGAGGGGGCCCAACCTTCGATTCTGCCGAAGAGCGTGATCCCGGTTTCTGAATTTTGTGCTGAATCCTTCTCCGCAAAAGGCCAAGTCTTGGGAGCCAACGCTATCAACTGGATCAAGCCCGGTGGGGCATTCGGAGCAAGGAGGTGGATGTACACGATGGATCGCTGCTCCTGACAAAAGCCTCAAGGAGCCCTCAACTCGAGACGGTACCTTACAAGACTCGCAAAGTGACTTGCCCGCGCAGTACAGGGAACACAGAACTCCTAGATAAATCTTGAGGCTGCCGTATGTCACCTGTTCGCCCACTTCCTCTCCAATTTGACTCCAGGCTGTCCTGCTGCTCGTGTTCATGCAGTAGCCACTTGGCAAGGTTGCCTCAACTCAGCTAAAGAATCAGTTGGAAAGCAACCTTTGACACCTTGAAATGAACCTAATAACACTCTCCCAAAGATGGTCGCAGGCCGAGAATACAGATTTGACCAACTTGTATGCAGACGAAAACCGACGGAACCGTTACTGTCACTGCAAAGTGCTCAAGGCCTTTGCCCCTAACCGCCAAGGCAAGCGGGCTGCACTGAGGCACGGACCCAAGAGCCTTGGCATGCGATAAACAGCCACACTCTCAGACTCTCGGCCAGATTGAACATTCGGAAGGCAAAGCCGGGAACACTGGAACTACAATCCTAGGCTGAACATCGTGCAAGACTTCGGGCCTTTGTTCATGGAGCAGTTGCGTGATGCACAGGTCGGTCAATGCCTTTGCCTTTATAGAAAGGGTAGATGGCGCCAAAACTAACGAAATAATAACAGGGAATCAAATCATGGGTCAACTGTTTTGATTGTTCATCAGCACTGCCATCCTTGTAATCAAGATAAGCTTCAGTATCACAACCGCGCATTGATCCTTAAAAAGGCCATTGTTCCTGAAAGGTGCCTGAAACGAGTCCTGTTAACTGCAGGGCTAGCTCCTGAAAGCCAACTGCGCAGTCATGACGGAGCCGCACAGGATGAAAGCAATGTCCATTTTTTGGGTTTGGCATGAGTCTGGAGTTCCGCCGTCTGTGTTCCTTTATCAGCTTGGTCGCTTCGAAGTGTGGGGGTGCAGGATGGTCGAGTTTGTCGCAGGCCGGCCCCTGCATGCTTTCACTCGCTGGCTTCATGGAGTGCAAGCACAGCATGTACACGCAGCTCACATCGCAACACATGGCTGTCTGTCAGAATTCCACTGAGCATCCTTCGCATTCCGTGCGCGAGCCTCACCACCTGCAGCTGGCACAGCCTCAGGCTTGATCCCTTTCAACGGGCGACACTTCGGCCCCAGACAAGCGAGCGTCAGCTCGCCAGGTATGCTTTGCTTAGTGCCCGTCTTGGCGCTGAGTGTCAAGGAGCGCAACTGGGGCAAGCGCGAAGCATCCGGATGTTCATTGGCCTAAGGATCTTGACTCCGGTTCTTGGAGACTGAGAACAAGGCCATTGGGGCAAGGACTAGTGCCCAGTACAGATTACTGTATAGGCCAGAAGCAAGGCCATTGGAACACTGCAATTCTCCAGCGGATGTCAAGTTGCAGATTGCAGCCAAGGTGCTTGGATGTAGACTGCGCTTCCTGGCACATGCGCGACTCAGACAATGGACATGCCCAAACTTCAGATTACTTCAATACTTCAGCTGTTAGCAAGCATGCTTGGCGTACTTCACAAGAACAAGCGGCTAACAACCGGACCTCGTTAGCCACCAATTCTTGCGTTTTCTCTGTGCCATACATGCATGGCATCCGATCCCTTCAGCGATGCAAAGCACACAATACATGTTCAAGTGGCATGGTTTTGAAGCCTTCCAGTAACATGACATCACTGCACGACGAGGGACCAAGCAACCAAGTTGAATGCTATTGAAGACACCTCTATGTCACAAGCAAGCTTTGCTGCATTCGGAACTGCTGACTGCAGGGCTGCGTCCTCCGAATGCCTACTTGCCAACATAACCTGCCATTGCGAAACCATCCGCTTTGGCTGCTACCTACAAACAAAATTTTCTGTTGCCACAGCCTGCGCACCAAACAAAACAGTCGAAAAATTGGTGAGCGCTGGCGCAAAGGCGCTCACGCTTTACTTTGACACATGTTACTACCATGCCGACTGCACTGATTTTCGTTTGATGCTTTCAGGGTTGTTGTTGGAAGCACTCACATACAGTCCTGTCAACACAAGCGTCCCGAGGATGTGTGCTCAGGATTCAGGATTCAGCCTGGGCCTGCCAGGACCTGTCCGTGTCCCAGTGCTGGATGTGCACTTCTTTGAGCATATGTCATAGCGTTGGTTGGGCATTTGGGGTACGCCCTCAGGGGTGCGCCGACCGTCTTTGATTGGTGCAGAGCCCCTGCCCTGTGGTGCTGGTTCATAACATGCATCCGGGTGATTCAGTGCCACGCCCGCGTATCTTAGTTGCTGCACTGAACTGCCGAATCGGCACGGGGAGTGCACGAAGCAAGGTTGCAGAATCCCAGTTGCGGCGTCTCAGTGGACCGATCGCAGGCGCTGACTGGCTTGCAGTTGCATTGAATTGTCCCTATTGTCCCTGGTGGTGAGAGGTGACAGGCAAAGGACAGCACGAGCATCAACTGAGTTGCTCGCCCAAAGAAACCCAGGAAAAGAGAAAAGGCTCAGGGCTTTTGTACATCCTGCGCAGAAAGGTGCTCGTCCAGTCTCATGTCAGGCGAGCATCACCAACATTACTCGGCCTCAATGTCTGGCCAAACGGAGTGTCCGGCTTTGCCAAGATGTTGGAGTGCGGCGCGAAGGAAGGGAAGCTGCGTATTCATGGCTACCGTATTAGGCTTCAATCTCTTGGGTTGCGGCTAATGACGGGTATTGCTGTTCCGCGCTGCTTCTCATTCTCCGAATCGAGTCGGCCTTCGGCGCTCAGCACCCGCACAGCCCTAGTGGGCAACGAGGCCCCAGACCTGGGCTTGCGAAAGCGCAAGGCCGCAAGGCAGTGCTCTCTTGGAGAAATCCAGCGCTCTCTTTCGATTGTTCCAGTGTTTGATTCGAAATTGCAAGTCAAACAAACTCTCCCCAGCTCAGCTGCAAGGTGCTGAGCTTTGCGGCAACTTGTACACATGCTCGGAAGTGCTCGCCTTGACATTCAAGGAAGTTTCAGACCTGGCAAGTATCCACCTGAAGCCTTCTCTCGTTTGCCCGCCAGGTGAGATCACCGCCTTGACCAATAAACTCTTGGGTTGGTTATGTCAACAAGGCCTTTTCACATCGTTTGAAATCGTCTGCCTGGATCTTGACCGCAGCCATGTTCACCTCCAGTCCACTCAGCTCTCTGCATCAGCCAACTTATCTGGATCAGAACAGGGAACATGTCGGCAAATCGTTCAAAAGAAATGGTATCGAAGAAATGAGAAATCAGCGTGCGCTGCGCCACGAGAGGCAACCCGGCAATTTCAGAGGCGGCGGCGTTTGGCACTGCCTCCTTGGCCACCTGCACCTACAGATCCAACCCGAGAACGCATGTGGGTAAGTTATAGTGCCGGTAAGTTATCCATCTCCTCCTCCTCCAATCCCAAAAACCCACTTATGGCGCTTGCCTTAATCACTTGCGAGGCACTCGCATCGGCGCGATGCCAGACACGGTCACCAGGGCGTCCTGCGTTTGAGGGCCTTTCAAAGCAAATGGCTAGCATGCGGGAAGGCCTTGAAAAGTGCACACAATGTTCCCACAATTAGGCTCACATGAATGTTACCGCATACAGAACTTGACAAGTCCATGGTCCTGAGCAGCAATGTTTGCCTGCGAGTGGCATGTCAGACGCTTGACCGTTCGAGATTGGAAACCAAACTCAAGCCCCACACAAAAAAGAAGTTTCATGACCTGCTACGTCATTGGACCTCTACCCCCCCGTGACCTTGCCCAGACCAGACACTCCAGGGAAGCCTTGCAGTGCGCACGCTCGCGGCAACCGCCTCAGTCGGCAGATCTCCTTGCAGGACGAGCTTTCCGCCCGCCACGATGACCTGAGAGGCGGGGCCATGCCCAGACAAAGAGTAACAAAAGGCCAAGGATTTGCCATCGCGCTCCGCTTCACCGTGCCCAGCATGTAGAAAGATCAAAGGTAGCGTTAGTTAGCTCGAGAAAACATGCTTCTCGGGCAGTGAACAAAGGATTCAAACTGGCTCCTACAAGCGCTCCGAGGCACCAGAACACCCCACCGAAAGTGTCAGGCTTCCATCCTCGACGCCGCTACGTCGAAGAGCTCCGTCATTGCCTCAGGACTGGATTCGGCCCCAGTCGCCCTTCCAAGGCAACTTCTATCAATGACATTGCTAGAAAGCTTTCTTGCAAGGCCATAGCGCCCCAGCTGCCGTTTGCGCAGTTGCGAGCAAGCTGCTAGTTTTCGAGCGAACCAGCTGGGCGTCAGGTGTCAGATATGCCCCAAATGCGCACAGTTTGGCTTGTCAAGAGGCGAAATGGCCTCACATAAGCGGCCCCTCTGACAGAGCAGCTGCTCCGCTATCTCGCTAGTGTCGGGGACTGGGAGGTTCCGTGACCAGCTGAGAGATCTCCGCGCATGTTGACTGTTGCGGTCACAGAAATCAAACATCTTGCGCAGTAGTCGACGCGCTACTGTTGAAAATACTACCTGATTATTGAGAGGGCTGCAAAAAAAATCGAACCTCCCTTGGTTCTGCAGCTTCCAACATCACAAGCCTCGCGCCTGTGTGCAACAATGGCTGCATCTCGCGCTGTACCGGCACTCACTGTTCGGCTCGGATGCGCTTGTGTGACGCGCTGCGGCTGAATCACCAGCATCCGGGATGTACGTTGGAAATTATCGAACTTTTGTTCACTTTGACTCTTGGCCAAATGCAACCAACGCCGCACCGTACGCATGGCAGAATGTCATGAGGTTCTTGCCAGAATCAAGCTGTCAAGACCTGGCGTCCAAATCCTCGCAGCAAAAAATATTGAATGGGCGCCCAGCAAAAAATGCATGTGGTTTGGAACGAGACAACAAATGCAATGTGACCTGGGTCTCTGACAATTGTGGACACGTTCACCAGCAGGTGGTCGCCTTATGGAAATGGCAAAGCGCACTGCCAACCAAGACGTTTCAACGGCAGCTGCAAACAAAGCCCGGCTATCTTCAACCTCACCTACCTCTGCCCCTCCCAGAAAAAAAATCAAGGTGTCACAAACCCAGCACCACAAAATGTCAAGACTGGCGCAGACTCCAGCCTTTGTCTCCGAGCTTCAGACGCAGCTTCAAATGTGACATCGTAACGCTGAGCATTTGCATAGTATTGGAGCAGCTTTCGCGCTGCATCACTTCCTCAACCAGCGGAAAGCAATGCGAGCGACTGAAAAAAGGATATTGCGAGAAATTGCGTGTGTGTGTGTGTGTGTGTGTGCGCGTGCGCGTGTGCGCGTGCATGTGCGCGTGTGCGTGTGCGTGTGCGTCTGCGCGTGCATGTGCGCGTGTGCGTCTGCGCGTGTGGGTGTGCGCGTGCGTGTGCGCGTGTGGGTTTGTGCGCGTGCGCGTGCGCGGGAATGCGGGAATGCGGGAATGCGGGAATGCGGGAATGCGGGAATGCGGGAATGCGGGAATGCGGGAATGCGGGAATGCGGGAATGCGGGAATGCGGGAATGCGGGAATGCGGGAATGCGGGAATGCGGGAATGCGAATATGCGCGCGTGTGTGTGTGTGTGTGTGTGTGGTGTGTGCGTGCGTGCGTGCGTGCGTGCGTGCGTGCGTGCGTGCGTGCGTGCGTGCGTGCGTGCGTGCGTGCGTGCGTGCGTGCGTGCGTGCGTGCGTGCGTGCGTGCGTGCGTGCGTGCGTGCGTGCGTGCGTGCGTGCGTGCGTGCGTGCGTGCGTGCGTGCGTGCGTGCGTGCGTGCGTGCGTGCGTGCGTGCGTGCGTGCGTGCGTGCGTGCGTGCGTGCGTGCGTGCGTGCGTGCGTGCGTGCGTGCGTGCGTGCGTGCGTGCGTGCGTGCGTGCGTGCGTGCGTGCGTGCGTGCGTGCGTGCGTGCGTGCGTGCGTGCGTGCGTGCGTGCGTGCGTGCGTGCGTGCGTGCGTGCGTGCGTGCGTGCGTGCGTGCGTGCGTGCGTGCGTGCGTGCGTGCGTGCGTGCGTGCGTGCGTGCTGTGTGTGTGTGTGTGTGTGTGTGTGTGTGTGTGTGTGTGTGTGTGTGTGTGTGTGTGTGTGTGTGTGTGTGTGTGTGTGTGTGTGTGTGTGTGTGTGTGTGTGTGTGTGTGTGTGTGTGTGTGTGTGTGTGTGTGTGTGTGTGTGTGTGTGTGTGTGTGTGTGTGTGTGTGTGTGTGTGTGTGTGTGTGTGTGTGTGTGTGTGTGTGTGTGTGTGTGTGTGTGTGTGTGTGTGTGTGTGTGTGTGTGTGTGTGTGTGTGTGTGTGTGTGTGCGTGTGCGTTTTCGTGTGCGTGCGCGTGCGCGTGCGCGTGCGCGTTCGCGTGCGCGTGCGCGTGCACGTCCGCGCGTGTGCGCGCGGACGTGCGCGTGCGCGGGCGCGTGGGTGTGTGGGTGTGTGGGTGTGTGGGTGTGTGGGTGTGTGGGTGTGTGGGTGTGTGTGTGTGTGGGTGTGTGGGTGTGTGGGTGTGTGGGTGTGTGGGTGTGTGGGTGTGTATGTGTGTGCATGTATGTATGTATGTATGTATGTACGTATGTATGTATGTGTGTGCATGTGCGCGTGTGCGTTTGCGCGCACGCGCACGCGAGAATGCGGGCATGCGGGAATGCGTGAGCGCGTGCGTGTGTGCGCGCGCGTGCCTGTGCGTGCGTGCGTGCGTGCATGCGTGCGTGCGCGGAGTTCGCGGAGCTCGTGTGCGGCGTGCGTGCCTGCCTGCCTGCCTGCCTGCGTGCGTGCGTGCGTGCGTGCGTGCACGGAGGGTGCGGCATGCGTGCGCGCGTTTGTGCGCGCGCTCGGGCGTGGGTGGGTGAGTGGGTGCGTGGGTGGGTGGGTCGGTGGGTGGGTGGGTGGGTGGCTGGGTGTGTGTGTGTGTGTCTGTGTGTGTGCCTGTTTGTGTCTCTGTGTGTCTCTCTGTGTGTCTCTCTCGCTGTGTCTCTCTGTGTGTCTCTCTGTCGCTCTGTGTCCTTAAGACAAGTTTGGGGAACAGAACGTAGGTGAACAGATCGCAAGGCCCCCCAGCAAAAAACCGACAGAAACCGACAGAAACCGACAAAAACCGACAGAAATTGAAAAAACAACAATCAATTTCAACCAGCTACGGCGCCCAATTATGTACTACCAGTAATACCTTTGAAAATTAGAAATTAACAGCCAAAATCAGCAACTAACAAGCAACAACAAGCAACAAGCTAACAACAAACAACACAAACACAACACGAGCAACAACGCAACAACCAACAATACAATAACAGTAACGGACAACCAAACTTACACACACAGACAAAATAGACTTTCAAAGACATGGAAAAAGCGACCGTTGAAAACCGCGAGGGACAGAGAACTGTAACGACGTGGAAAAAGCGACCAGCAAGAACCGTGACGGACAGACATGTTCAAAGAGATGGAAAAACCGTCCGTTGAGAACCGTAACGGACAGAGAACTTTAACGACGTGGAAAAAGCAACCAGTAAAAACCGTGACGGACAGAGACTTTCCAAGACATGGAAAAAGCGACCGTTAAGAACCGCGAGGGACAGAGAACTGTAACGACGTGGAAAAAGCCACCAATATGTGTGTATGGGTGTGTGTGCAAGGTCATGTAACGCAATGTGTTGTAAGGTAAGGTAAGGTAAGGTAATAAGGTAAGCTAATGTGATGTGATGTGATGTGATGATATGTGATGTGATGTAGTGGAATGTGTGTGTGTGTGTGTACATGCATATATGCATATATGCGTGTATGTCTGGAATGTATGTTGGTACGTTTGTTTGTGTGTGTAATGTATGCTAGGTCTCATTATTGAACATCGGTTACAAACTGGCGATGCAGAGCGCCGCCTAGCAAATGGGCGACGCCGAAGCCTTTTATTGGACATGGACTATCCGCTCAAGGCGCACAAGAAAGACACACGTGCAAAATTTATACTGACTTTGTTTTAGCGGCGGATGGGCTCTTTCCATGCGTGTAGTTCACGCACCTGATTCACGGGCACAAATTGTGAGGCTTCTAGGCTACGAGCATTGGTTCCCCCGTATCTGATGTTGTAAAATACAAGACGCGGTCTCGCTTTCACGACTTTCACGGTCGCTTGGCTTTCTAGCCGACAAAGGTTTACGCTGCAACCTCGAACTTGTACAACGCTGGTTGGTGAGGTTGTCAGATATCACATTCAGAATGTTCAAACAGGAATCAAACTATTCGTAATGTCTTTGCTTGATAGCTCAGCTTGCAGTTGTCACTCTTGAACAGCCCGGGTCAACACAGGCAGTATATCGGTAGATGCTTAGCTTGTGCGAAGTTGGCGGAAACTACATGGATGGCTTGACATGCTGGTTAAGTATCGAAGGCGTTTAGATTCCAGAAGGTTCAGGAGACTTAGACCAA